TGATAGTGTTTTCCCCCAATATTTGAGGGAACTCTGTCAGATGGCATTGAGTAGAACTGAGGGGTGTGAAAGCAGACCTAGCAATACAGAAAACACTACAGATAAAATTCATAGTAACAATCTGCAGAGACAAGCACTCCAGAATGCAAATGTATGTGCTTCAGAAAAATTTAATTTGTTATGGCTGGTGGTCTGATTGCTATTGCCAAATCATTTGGCAAACTAAAAAGGAAAGAAAACAAAATAAATAAGAGATGGTAAAAAACCAAACTGTTCTTGAATACATAGTTATGGCATTAAAAGATAGACACCCCAACTCCCTTTTTATTTTTCTTTAACAAAGAGGGTGTTTGTACACATTATGTATAAAATAAACTGCATTTACATGATGACAGACTACTGCTTCCACAGAATCCATTTAGCTTACTTAACACTGAATCCACCACAGTCCCTAACACCCCTCTCCCTGTAATAACATAACCTTTGGGATGGGTACAATGCTAAAAAAAAAGCAATCCCATTACTCTATCCTGCAATTTTGGTGTCTCTTCTCCTCCAGTCTTAACCCAGTGTCTATTACATTCATTTGCACCTCATTTAGGGCTGACAAGAGCCCTGGTTGTTTCCACCAGCTGATCTAAGATGAGCCCTTTGCACAAAGTTTATGGGACGTGTATAATGGACCTTAGATCCATTAGTTACCTGTGAAGCCTTGAGACCCCTCGGAGCAGCCAACAAACATATAATAGTTCCCAGGTTTATTTCCTCCTTTAGCAAGGAAGGATTCCTCCCCCTATAGTATCTTGGTAGGAAACAACCTCTACTAGTTTTGAAAGCTGACTGGGGAAAACCATAAAGTACCATCTTATATTTGCAATATAAGTGCAATTTGTTTCCCAGTTATTTGCCACAGATGTAGAGGACAAATAACTGCATCTTCTGGCCCAGTTATTGTCCATCTCTGGCCCAGCCTCATTATTCAGCTGGGAAAATTCAACAGCAAACAAGTTTCCAGCATGAACTCTGTATATCAGTAAAAAGTACATTCAAATGTCTTCTTCAAACAACAAAGAAAATGTTATCTAAACTGCATTTGCCAACCACAGCTGATTCCTCTAAAATTAGTGTTTACTACTATGGCATTGGGAATAGGAAGGGTGGAGCACTGAGCATGATATAGCTGAATTACTGCAAAATTTGTATTTCAAACTCCAAATCTGCTGACAGAGGAAAATCACTAAAGTGACAGTCACTGGAGAGCAGTAATGTATAAAACAAGACAATGTCATTTTGATTTGATCTGGACAAAGATGAAAAACCTGCATCTGCCTCTCCAATGACACAGAACAGGTTTTTCCTGTTGGCATTCTGTTTTACACATATTCTCAAAATATGTTTTTCAGATACCAAGCACGGCCATCAATCTACTCTTTGCAATAAAAACCTCCACTGGAGATAGATGAAATGACAGAACATATCTGAGGATAAAACAAGTTCAGCCAATATATAGAACAATGCTGGCATCTAAGGAGTTCAAGGTTAATTCCCTTTCTGGAATTAAAGACCAAATGGTACCAGAGTCCAAGCAGGAACTGGGAACAAAGCCATGACCAATGCTCTGTTTTTCCTCTATAGTGATCTAAAAATAACCTTTTGATGTCTGATGAGAAAAACACCAGCATGTAAAACCACGGACACAGATTTCACCGCTCCTTTAGCCAAAAACAAGGAAACTAAGAAGAAAAGAGGATCTGAAACAAATTAGTGCAGACACATTCACTGTAGCACTAATGTGTTTTTGGTTTTTTTCCTCACAGTTCTAGTCTGAGAGAATAAAAACATTAGAAAGGAGCTCAGCCTTAACAGCCTCATTGCCAGATTGTAGGCTGTGAGTTGCAGCACCACTGTGTGCAGTACAGCACCTCTCCTTGAACAGCACACACAAAGAAAAGGGACATCTCACATCAGCTTCACAAGCCCAAACAATGAGGACTAAAACCCTTTCAAAGTCCCTTGTGTAAACCTGGCAGAGTTCACTCTGAAAGACAGCTAAGAGATATCTTTCCTTCACAACCCTCAGTTTTCCTGGGTTAGGGGTAGAATCTCAGACTACCAAAATCAATGGCAAGGACTGCCATTATATCCATGGTGCTTGAAAAGAACTTCTCTCCAGCACTTTGACATGCTGTGTTCCCTCCTCTAAGTGCATGTGTTGATTAAAGGAAAAAAAAAAAAACACCCCAAACCCAAAAAACCCAACACACCACTCTACTCTCAAGTCTCTCTCCCCAAAGTACAACTGCAATGGAAAGCACATGAATTTAAGCCATAAAGACATTTCAAAATAAAAGAAAAAAAAACAATTCTCAGTCTGTATTTAATTAGACTTAAGAGCATAGCCAAAGAGGATCCAAATCAAACAAAAACACCACAAAATCAGTATTTTACTTTTCCCACCTGTACTTAAATGTAGCTTAAATAAAATTAATTTACTTTATGAATCTCATTGTAGGAAACCGAGTACAAGGATTTATGAATGTGGCCAAATGGTGACATGTAAACATGAACACCACGATTCCACTGTTTTCCATCTAACACTGAACTTCACTTTCTAGTTTATACTAAGACCAAAACTGATTAAACTGGTCTTTTAACCAGTGTTGTCATCAAGCCCAAAGATAATGAAGACATCTTGGAAACAGACAAAACCAGAACAGTATTATAATCAAAGCAGCATGGACATTTTGTGCCACTATTATTTCATCACCATATCCTGGTATGAAGTTATTTTGAATAAAGACAGTAATACACACTACCTGCTCTCATTTTTACCTGTGGAATACTAAAATTTATATTTCAAAAACCAGAATGGAGAGTGACAGTCATTTTTCAGAAAATGTAATCTTTCTCTTCTAATTAAACACTTTCTCTAGAGAAAAACGAGAAAAAGATGACCAAGATTGAAGTGAAGTTGTTGATAGGTGCAGTTGATAGATGATTCAACTTCTTCCTGGAAATGATTTCCACTAATAAAATGTTCACGTCAGCTCAGGATTTTTAATTCTTTGCTATGTAAGACGAATATATTCTTTTAAGGATGAAAAATAAATGCAATATCCCGACAGCTACAAGGAAGTAAGTTCCAGCAAGCTTTGTGCAAGCCTGGAGAACTCAGTACCATTCTGCATGACAGTGAGTCAAATGCTCAGCTGAAAACTGTTGAAAGAGAACATCTCCCACCTGCTCCCAGCTATGTGCTTTTGGACATATCTCATGCTGTCACCAGGAAGCACTGGACTACTCTGTGTGCTGCCTCCATCTTCCTACAGCAGCATAAAACCAGCCCAGTAAACCCAGTACGGGTGGTTTCCTATTGTACTGGGTAATTAAGCATTCTGTGGCAGGATCTAAAAGTCATCAGCACTGGCAGAAAAGAGAAAGGCAGAGAAAGGCCTGGAAAGTATAATGGGAAATGGTGAAGTGAGAACTCTCCCTTTGGGTGTCATGGAATGACTGCCACTCTAATGCTGGCCTTGTCACCAACTTATCATGTGACATTGATCATACCTCTTAACCATGGCTTATTTATCCCCTTGAAAACGAGCACAGTTGTTACCTTCCTCACAAAGATGCAGTGAGAGGTGAAATTTGGAACTGCCACTGAACATGAAAAAGATAAATTATTATTACTGCATTTTCATATGCATAACATGACTGTCTGGTAAAAAAATAACAACAAATCCAAACCCAAAGCTGGGATTTTGTCACAGTCAAGATCTGACGTGTGGGTGGGGACATAAGGGACAGTTTTTCAAGAAGTAAAAAGGTAAAAGCAAACAGGAAAAATCACGTTTTATCATGACTGAGTTCCAAGTTCAATCAAATGGAAATCAGCTGTGTATTTATAATGGAACAATAGTGCCTAAATCTTACCACTAAACAAGCCACTGTTGAAAGCTGAACATCTCTCTCTTTTGTGTCTCTCATATCCCTTTGAAACAGAGACTTGTTACAGCAAGCTCATCCACTGCTCCTCAGAGAACAAGTTGGACAGCTGAATCACTCACAAGCTGGAGCTGCAGTTGATCCCAGTACTTATTTTCAAGGAAAAGTGTTTTTTCAAGAGGTGCAAAACACAGCATTTATTATTTGCATTATGACAGCTTCCATCTAGCAACTGAAAACAGCAATAACATCTCCTTGCAGTGGGGGCAGAAGGTAACACTCCCTTGTATAACTTACTACACTTAGACCCTACAGATGTCTAAACACAAGCCTACAAAGAGTAAGTCAGAGTATAAATAATAAATTCACCTCTCAACTTGATATCCTTTCCTATCTGTCTACCAGTGATGGCTTTCTAGAGACTGTGCATGATCAATCCTAAATCTTCAGAGTATTTTAAGTAGGTAATAAAAATAAGGGACTAAAAGAAGGGTGGTATGAGTACCATGGATCAGTGATTAGACTGCATTCACCTAAAATCTACTGAACTTGAATGTTCTTCCAATTAACTCTGGCATGCACAGAATCTCAGTTGCAAGGCCTCATCCAGGTGCTGCCTATGGGATATCACCAAACAAATGCTTGTGAAATTAAAGGAGCACATGCCCTGTACAGTTTTTAGAAACCCAAACTACCTTTGTATTGCACTGTTTCTAAAGTACATCAAGAGAGAAACAATTAAATAGATGCCTGAACATCAGCAAACCCCACTAACTCTGTGCTTAGATACTGCCATGAATTATACAAGTCAGAAAACAGTTTTACTGCAGACTGTGACCAGACATGAAATAGATCTCTCTGTAAATAAACCAAATTATTTTAAAATTATACTTTTTCATGTATAGGCGTAACATCTCTGCTGATCTTGTCCAAACTCATATTGGACATTTTACATGTACTAAGATGTCCAACTTTGTTTTATCAAGCTACCATATCAATTTTAAATAAATAAATCATTACCATTGCACTATTAACCAAGCAACATATATACATACCTGATAAGTAACGCTCTTCTTTCCATCATCATTTGTTTGAGGCAAGGTCAGAGGTCCAGAAACTACCCAAACATCCTCAAATCTCTCAGTCAATTCCCGACAATACATTTCCATTCTGGAACATATTTGTCAGATAAGGAAAAGTCAGCTGGGAAAACCTGACATGATAATCTTTGAGACATATTGTGAAGGGAAGGATGAACTACTGAAAGTCAGGGTGCATTTTTCATGTGACTGACTCCCAAGCCAAAGAAGGTAAAAAAGCAGGCCCAACTTATGGTTCCCACTTATGCCAGGTTCACTTATTCACAGACCTGTTACTGCACACATCTGAAAATGGTTTCTGCAGCCTTACCACCTGTCTGAATGGCTGAGTTCTCTACTTACTCCCACACCTGACACTAGAAATATACTATTGATGGTCACTTGGGATTAGTAAAATAAAATTGTTTTAAACAGCAGGTTGTGGTGTTCTTACTTTGAGAGGTTATTGGATTTGTACGTTTCTCCCTAAGGAATCAACACCCTGCAGGACACAGCTCTTTCCATAGCAAGTACTGGGAAAAGTTTTTATGTGCCACTCCCACTAAGTCTAGTTTTTTATTACATATAAAACTGTTCAAAAATTAAGTAATACTTCCAGAAATATATAATTATTTTTACTTTTTAAACTAATTCATTCAGTTTACAGCATATAACATTTCTCAAATAAGGAATTTTCTGGATCATGCTGATTTTACATAAAAAAAAATATTAACAAGGCCAGGTTGGATGGGGCTTGGAGGAACCTGGTCTAGTGGAAGGTGTCCCTGCCCATGGCAGGGGCATTGGAACTACATGATCCTTAAGGTCCCTTCCAACCCAAATCATTCTGGGATTCTATGATTGTAGCCTGCCTTTGATCTAATACCCCAACTGTTACAGAAATCACCTGCAGTAAGAACCCACTGGTCCTCTACAAAGTTAAGAGCTGCACTTCACACAAATGGACAAACAGACCAGAATATCAGACAGATAAACCCAGCTACTCTGGCTGCCTCAGAAAGGGGGAGGTTTCATCCCCTTCTCTGTCTCATCCCTATTCCTCATACCTCTCCCTTGGGCCACTTTAGCACTCTTTGGCTACCAACAACCCTGAACAAAACCAATATTTCCTTTTTTTGTGCTGGGTTAGTGAGTTAAATCAGCTCACAGAAATCAAATCAGCAAGAACGAGCCCCACAGATGAGAATGAGCAGGAACGAGCCCTTTCTTCATGTGATACAGCAAAGAATTAACAAGCTAATTTTTTTTCCTGCTGTCACCAGCTTTGCTTCCAAGCAGCTCAGCTCCTCAGGCTGTCTCGCAGCACAGCAATACAAACACCAACTGGCAAAAGGAAAGGATGGGAATAAACGCAGCTAGGGAGGAAACTGCTTTTGGTGGCAGCAGGGACAGAGGCCAGATTACGGTGACCATGAAATTACACTCACAATAAGACAGAAAGAGACAGTCAAACATCAGGAAAGAAAGAAGCATGCATGTTGGTTGGAAGAGAATGAGGAATTCTAAGGTGTAGTTAGACCACAACACTGAGCCAATCTAACAGCTTACTATCTAACAGCTTGCTGGAAGATACACTCCTGTCTCCCCTTTCCTACTGTTCCCCTCATCTGTCCCAGCTGACCAGTTCTAATCCATCTTCCATGTTGGTTCTTGCACTCATCTCATCAGTTGATCCAATCTTCTAATCTGGAAAGATTAGATAACCAAGCAGAACAAAATTACAATCAGTTTAACTGGGCTGGCAAATGGAACTGACTCACCACAGTTGGCTGGAGCCAGAGCTGGAACTGGGAAAGCATCAAAAGCACCAGGCTGGAGGGCAAACACCCCTCTAGAAAAAAACAGACACTTTAACTGACTAAGTTGCACTGTCTACCTGCACCTCAGAAGAAAATTCAAGAAGCAAGCAATTAAAACAAGGGAAGAGAGTACTGGAGCCAAGAAAGGACACAACACATGCGAAATGACTGACAAAAAAAGTGGCACCACTGCCTTGTTCATGTATTTAAACTCTGGCAACAGGGTGCTGGGGTTGGGAAAAAGTGGTAATAGCTGCTTAAATTGCAAGGCTGATAGTGTGAGGAGAAATTTTCAAACACTCTCTAGAATTTCCTGATAGGGTAGAGATCCTGCTTAAGGGAAATAAAGATGGTTTCCCACCTTGACTTGGTACAAATGCCCAGCTTTGGTATAAGGAAAATTTATGCTCAAATACTTGAGTTAATAAAATAAGAAAAACCCAAACTCTTAAAGATATGTAATTTTATTTGTCTATAATATAACCTTACTGAATGCCTCATATGATTTTATATGCAGCCTTGTAAAACAGGCAAGTACTGTGTAGTTGAACGATGATGCAGTTTTGATGGATCTTTAGTGAAACACTCTACATAATTTTTCTGACCTTCCCTTGATTGAACCTTGAGAAATTCATCATTTTCCCCTCCTGTTTCTGAGCCTTCACATTCTGTAAGTCCCATGCAAGAAGCACTGGACGAATGCTACTTTTATTAGGTTTTCCTCTGCTCAATGGAAAGAAAGAATAAAAATACCTTACAGGAAGAAAGTTTAAATTTATCAGGCATGCCCTGCACCTCCAGTCAGTGCTCACAAGTGACAGAGAACCTGCCTGGGTGCTACTTGGAAGCCAGTACCTAAAGAAACATTTGAGACCTGAAGTGGACTCAGTGGGGAGCGCTCAGTTCTCCGACTCAAAGTGAACCAATGTCCACACACAGAGATCTGAATACTCTCACACTGGAAGCAGGTTTTCGAGGAAGATCTAAACCTTTTCCTTGCTTCTACTGAACATTCCTTAAGGACAGAGATATTAAGTCTGGTACTTTCACCCACATCAGCCAGAAGTCGTCACTTTATATATTCTAAATAAATGTCTTCTACAATTTGATTGAATAAAAAAACTAAGTAGTCATTATACTGTTCTTGCACTGTGAGCTGCCTTTCATTCCAGAGGAGGTTCCTATGATCTCTACAGATAGCCCATAAAATGCTCTAGAATACTTGGATGTGAAGGAGCTTTATAAATAAAGCATTTTTGATTTATGCCGCTGCCTGGTATTTTTCACTTGGTTTACTTACAAGTAATTTCTCACCTGTTCCAAAACCCAGCATTGTTTTCATAATTCTGAGGCACAATGTTAGACAGATAAAATGTTTCAGCCATAGCTCTCTGCACAGAGAAAGAAAATAATACAATTTCATTGAAACATTTATGAGATGAAAACACACTGTAGTAGTTTTTAGATCAGAATCCCATTCCTAGTTTAGTTTTTAACATTTATTAACACAAAAGGTCAGATAAAACCTAAATCAGAACACCTACAAAATTATTTTGGATTAAGAGGTGCACAACTAAGGTGAAACCTTGCAAAATTATCTACTTTTTTTTCTTGGCAGAAACAGCATGAGAACTTCCAGTTCTAGAGGCAGAGGAATTACGATGTCAGCCAGTGTCAGTTTTGTAATGTCTTTGAAAGCAACCAGCAATTCTTCTTTTTGAATGGGAAGGATGCTTTCACCCATGTTTTTCATTTATTTGACTGCCTAATGGCTAAATTCTTCTTTCCCTTACCAGAAAAGGTTTTCTTTATTAAAAATACTCAACCATATTTTACAAATACATAACATGAAGGTAATGAAATGATTTTTGAGACCATAATGGTCAAATACCTACATATCTCTTTAATTTTATCTTTAAAGTGTCATAAACCTCTAAACAGAAGCTCACATACTTCCAGATGTGAAGGATCTGGTGCTTAAAAAACGAGGCAGCAGGCAGATGCAGAGAAAAAAATCCCAAGATCTTAACCCAGATTCTTCATAGGTACTGTACTTGCCAATATTTTTCACAGACTACTTCTAAGTAGGGTAATGAGGAAACACTACCTGCACCAAACTAAACTGTGAAATTAAATTTTTAAAATCCTGTATTTGAAAGATTGTATCATCACACTCCCTTTCAAGCCATGTCCAGGATCTCTCTGCACAGGGAGATCACCAGCAGAAATTCCCCAGATAACACAAATAAATAACAACAAAGAAACTTCCAGTAGAAACAAAATGATTGGTTCTTTCATTCACCACATGCCACTGTGCTGTCACTCTGCCCCACTGAATTCTATCCTGCCTGGCAGAAATACAAATTCCAACCGCTTCTTAATTAACAAATTGCTGCATTAGGCACATTTCACACAAGGATCCAATAAATTCAAGGCTGCTTTGTAAGTCAGCCAGGGCATTAGGGCATGCTTCTCTTACAGCTCAAATAAATGGCAGGTGAAGACATTTTATAGACTGGAAAAACTACGGCAAATGAAGGGTCTAATTTACCTCATACACGTTGCAAGAAAGGAAAAAGCCTTTTAAATCATCCAGGCAATCCCCTTGCCAATACAGAACAGTACTTAACAGCATCTTTGCTTTGCCCAATTCAGCCTTAAACATCTCAGCAGCTGTTGGCCAGAATGAAGTCATTGTCCCCATTTCCCTCTAACTGAGCTTCAAAAACACTTTGGAGGTTTGTTTGGTGAAGGTTATAATCTCTATTTCACAGGTAGACAGTGTGACATACAAGGGGTTGAGAAGACTTGCTTAACACCACACTATACAACAAATCATCTCTGCCAGACAAGCTAATTTGGGTGTGATTTAATGAAGAGAGGTATGCCATCAGAGGATGCACCTGATTTAGATGCCTGAAGCAGACTGTGAGAACATCCTACAGTGCTCAGTCAGGAACAGACCTTGCAACTTCAAATCCAGGTCTGTGCATCACTAATGAGATCATGTTCCATCTCATAAAAAAAAACCTGCAAAAGGAACGTTATGCATTACTTTAAAGGGTCTTTTGACCCTTTCCAATGAATAAAGACAAATTAAAAAGAAGAAGAAGAAAAATCCTACTGTTGAAAATTTGTTATCTCCCGCTGGTGCCATGTGTCCTCGTGACCATCCACTCCCAAGGTAGTCTTCATTGGCAGCACTAAACATCAGAGGGATGTTGGGATCTGGTCTGAATTTACAGTGCCTTCGGTCTGCATCGCCTGAGGAATAACACACTAAATGGTTATCATTAAACCAACATAACCACGAGGCAAAAAGATCTAATTCTGTCATATCTTGATGGAAGACCCACATTGAGTATTCAACACATTAATCTAAACTGGATATTTTCTCCTCAACCACAAAAAATACAACGCAAGGAGCAACTTTCAGTAGCGATCAATGCTAGTTTTTAAAATTACTTTTTTTTTCTACAGCTGACTGTACACACACACACAAACTGTATCCACTCTGGCCTTTTTGTCACGCCAGTATTATCCCTGAGCACGTGTGCACCCTGTGCCTCCTTGTGCTCTGCACTGAGAACAAAGTGTGGGACACACTCTACTTGGCAGCTCTCAGAAGAACACAAGAATATGAAAGGACCGCAAGGAAGAAGGAAAGGGGTGGAAAATGAGCATGCACATAGATAAGGCATCTCTTGGAAACCTATGCCTGTAAGCAATTCCCTTTCTTTGCTGACCACCTGTGTGTATGTCCAGGGAGGAAAGGCCAGAACACAGAGGTGATCAGAGCATCTTTTTGCAGTGCAGGCAGAAGGAAAGAGCTTCATTTTTCTTTTATGGTAAAGCATGTCACATGACACTTCAACAGAGGATTGATGCTCAGGAAGCCACACTGACAAGTTTATTAGCGTGTAAAACAACAGAATTCTTATTTTCAGTATTTAAAACAAAGTGTAATTTATCAATTAAACTTGAAAGATTTATTCGTTTATTCTCTATTCACTGCTTTTACAAAAATTTCTAATTTCTTCTGTAATCACTTCTGTACAGCCCATTTACATGTAATGCTGATTTCTTCCTACCGTGTTTTTTAAACATTTAAGTTCTTACTTATTAATAAAATATACCTTTTTTTACATCATGTCCTTTCAACCTTCCCCCTTCAACGCAGTTCCACCTCAAATCTCAATTAGAGTAGCTACAGGCATAAATCACAGCTGAATGCCTCAAGATACTTAATTTCAACCTGCAGGTTAGTTTTATCTGGTCATTTGGAAAACACTTTAACAATTCAGCCTTTAAGGCCCACTTGAAAGTAAGCCTGGAATTACTGTTTTCTTCTCAGAAAGAAGTGGAATCAATAATGCTACTTAGGGGCTGGTTATAATATTTTCAAGATCATGCTTTTAATTTTGAAAGGTAATTTGAAGACAGTGATTAAGATATATTTAGAGAGCTATTGCTTTCATAAAACATTTTACAATTACAGAGTTACCTCCATTACTAATAATCTGCCTTATAAAAACTGAACTAATGCTATAAACTTAATTTACAATGACTGTATACCACTCATATTTCATTCACCAACTGACAGCAAAAAAATCACTGAGCCTCTGTCTTGCATAAAGAACAGGGGAGAGAGTATTAGATAATGCACATCAGGAAATAAAACAGAACTGCACCAAAGTAAATAATGGCTGCAGTGAGTAGGTAATGCCCTCTCTAGCTCTGAACAATTACAACTGTTGATGCCCTTTGCTCCATTTTTATCTCACGAATGGACATTCTCTTCCCATCCTGAGCAAATCTCCAAGATCTGTAGATGAAAGGGGCTGGCCATGAAAGGCATTGACTCCACAGATGGGGCAGCACCTAAACTGACATAAACTGGACCTCAGAACTAACTACACCAGCTAAGGAAGCAAGAGCCATTTTTATGCACTCGAGCAACTCTGCAGGTCTGAATCAGGTACGGAAAGTTTAATTTTCAATGTTTCATGTTCTCTCCATTCATGTTTAAAAAGAGGTAAGTTAAGCTTCCCTCCTGCAAAATTTTAGGGTGGTCACACTGACACGTCTGTATTGATCTTCCAGACTGTTTCACAACATAAATTTCTCACAGAAGGTAACTCTAGTTCTTCTTCATTCCTTCCTTTCATACTCAGCCCTTGGACCAAGTGTGTCTTCACTACAGATGTTGTATATTCAATACCAGAGTAGTGCCAAGCAGAGGAATAATACTGAAGAACCCTGCCAACCTGCAGTGACAGATTTCTTAAATCACTGGTAACATCAGCCTTAATAATTCATGCCATGAAGCTGACACCCACCCAGAGGCCTGCTGCCTCCAGTGGGATTGTGAATGGGTGGAAGAATCCATACCCAGAGATCACTATAGGATTTTTCTCCCTGTGCGCTCCAGGGTCCACCTTCTGTGAAGTGCAAAGCCCATTCTGGGCATCATAAGTGCAAGTAAATAAATACCTACATACCCAGTGTCTTCTGTTTTGAAATATGTTCAATCACCCATCTAGGCACCCGTTTTGCCTGGTCATAAGACAGTGCATGATTTGTGTAACATCTGGTTTCTGTTCCAGCCTCAGGGAATCCATATCTTTCCAGCAGAGCCTCTTCTACTGGTTCTGTGGAGAAAAATAAACAGCCATCCAAAGATGAAACGTGATCAGAAACGCAATCAGAAACAAGACAGTAAGAAAACCATCTCAGTGGGTGTAAACATACTGTATAGGGAATTACTTGAGGTTACTGCCACAATTAAGACCTAAAAAGATATTAAGAGAGCTACCCCACTGAAACTCTTCTCTACCAAAATAGTTGTATCTTAACATGAAGGTCTCGGCTCTAGGACTAACTCAACTGCTGTAATGCCTACACACATATGCATATATCTAGCAATCAGTCTGGGCTGGCCCTCAGAATAAAAGCTATCAGATATTTAGGGACAGAACAGGCAGTGAGGACTTACAGACACACATAGTTTACCCTTTGGGGTTCAAAATCACACTCTGCCTCACAAACTGAGATGCGTGAGTTGGGTAAAAGCAAGTCCTGCTCTCACTGCGAACACTTACAGTCTGCTCAATGAATGAAAGCTTCACTTTCAGATACTTTTTTTTTTTTTGCAAGCAACAATTTTCTCTCATGGAGGAATATTTACATCCATCTCACTGCCTTCCTCATCCTCTAGCCATTTGTCCAAAAGCAACTCAGGTTTTTAGAGACATTATTCCTCTGTTTTCCAATGCTCTGGAGGGTTTTACAGTCTCCAGGTGTAGAGAAAACCATTCGCTCCCTCTGGTGCCCCCCAACACTCCCTCCCCTCACCTGCATCCTCCAAACCTCCAAGTGCACACACTTGATGGATCGGCCTTGGCTCATCCCAGGCAGCTATAGCTGAAGTTTAGTTATGGCATGAATTGTGTGTTTAAAACTAAATATATGTGTGTGTATATATATATACTCATATATATGCATGCAGATACTGCGGGGATGTTGTCAGATCATACAGGACAAATGCTCTGCGCTCCCCCACTGCAACGGGGGACACTTGCAGCCATCCTGGCAGCCGAACGGACCTACTTTTCTGCCACCAACACTTTGGCGTGAGCAGCCGCACGGGGAAGCGCTTTTAATGACAAGTTACAGCCCAGCATCCCCAAATACCCTCCTCGCCCAACAGCCCGGTGCACGTACTGGGGACCGTCCTCCCCACCCCACTCCCTCCCCGATCTCCCGGCCCGCTTTGGGCACTCTTGGATGGAAGACACGAGGGAAAAGGCTCTTCTGAGGGGAGGGAGTAGACATTTGTGAGGGTAGGGAGAGGTTTTAAGGGCAGGAGCGGCTGCGGGGAGCGGAACCGCGCTGAGGCGCCGCGCCTCTCCCGCCCGGCGGAACCACGGTGCCGCCTCGCCCGGCCGACCCGCGCCCGCAAGCGCTTACCCTTGCCCGGCCCGGGCCCGGGGCCCGGCTCCGGCTGGCTCTGGCTGCGGAGGAGCCGCCAGCAGCCCAGGACGCGGCGGCCCGGCCCGGCCCCGCAGACGAAGCCGCCGAGGAAGCGGCGGTGGCGGGCAGGGCCGCCATGGCGGCGGCGGCGGGAAGGGCGGGGCGCCGCGCTGCCCCTCAGCGCCCCCTGCCGGCCCCGCCAGGGCGGCCCCGCCTCAGTGCGGCGTGAGGGGAATGAGCCAAATCGGAGAGATTGGACCGAGAGCTGTGAAAAAAATAAGGAATGAGTCCCTCCACGGAGATTACAAGGAGCGCCCACGGAGGGGTGGCTGAACTAACCCCTATCCAGCGTGGCCACCCTGTGCTCCAACCTCGAAGGGCCATAGAATCGTTTGGGTCAGAAGGGACCTGTAAATCTCATTTAGTCTTTAGCTAGAGAAAAAAAAAGCTCGTCTCATATGAGGAGAGACTGTGGGAGCGGGGCCTGCTCACTCTAGAGAAGACTGAGGGGGATCTCATGAATGCATATATCAAATATCTCAAAGGCGGGTGCCAAGAGGATGGTGCCGGACTCTTCAGTGCTGCCCAGCAACAGAATGAGGAGCAATGGCCATAAACTAAACTACAAGAAGCTTCACCTCAACATGAAGAATTTCTTTATGTTGGCATTGTCAGAACACTGGAACAGGCTGCCCGGGGAGGTTGTGGAGTCTCCTCTCCAATGTCATTCCAAAACCACCTCTACACATTCCTGTATCACCTGCTCCAGGTGACCCTGCCTTGGCAGGGGGGTTGGACTGGATGATCTCCTAAGGTCCCTTCCAACCCTAACAATTCTGTCATTCTGTGATAGTCCAACTTCCCTGCAATGAGCAGGGTCAACTTCAACCAGATCAGGTTGCTCAGAGCCCAGTCAAACCTGATCTTAAATGTTTCCAGGCATGGGACATCCAGCACCTCTCTGGGCAACCTATGCCAGTGCCTCACTGCCTTTACTGTAAAACATTTATTCCTTATGTCTAACCTAAATCGACCGTCTTTTAGTTTAAAGCCATTCCCCCTTGTCCTATTGCAATAGGCAGTGCTAAAAAGTTTGTCTCCCTCTTTCTTACAAGCCCCTTTTAAGTAATGGAAAGCCACAATAAGAACCTCCCAGAGCCTTCTCTTCTCCAGGCTGAACAAGCAGCTGAGGATGGTGGTATGGGGTTGAGTTAAGTTAATATTGGGTGATGTTACATCAGGCTTCTTTTTGGGAAAACCATAAGCCTTATTATTACTATTTTTCCCTCCCAGATGCCTGTTAGTGTTCATATTGGTCTCATGTCTGATCACTGTAAACACTTCCAACCCAACATCGAGCCAGAGACATTTTTTTCTGAAAAAAAAGACATTAGTTTAGCAACTGAAAATGTCAGAACATGAGGACTGCCATCATTTTGCTGCTGGCAGCTTGCCTGGAGAGGTCTGACCATGCTTGTGTGTAGCTGAGGGCATCTTCTTACCTCATGTGAGGATTTACAGAATGTTGCTACAGAGTGTGTTGCTCTGAGTGCAGGGAACTCAGGCTTTTTTTTTTTAAATCTTTTTCCGGATCCTTTGGTTTCTGGCAGTTGCAGCTACGTTGCTGGACTTTGTTGATACAGCTTAACATGCACATAATGCTCTGTGTGAACAGTTCTTTGCTAGGAATGATAAGCAGTGTTACCACAGTGCTACAAAGAGGCAACACACTCAAAAGGACATAGTAATTTTATAGTAATAAAATAATAATAATAAAAGGACACAGGTTGCCCAGAGAAGCTGTGGCTGCATCATCCCTGGAAGTTCAAGGCCAGGTTGGATGGAACTTGGAGCAACCTGGTCTAGTAGAAGGTGTCCCTGCCCATGGTGGGAAGACTGGAACTAGCTGATCTTTCAGGTTCCTTCTAACCCAAACCATTCTATGATTCCATGAATTTCAGCTAATTCCCTTTTCTCTTTGAAAGTGTTTGCAAGTGATGGGTAGTAGAGGCTTCAGCTATGTCTCTACAGAGGTTTTGTTAGACATTTTGGATAGCAGAGATGCCATGGCAACACCTAAAACATTCTTCTATGAAAAAGGAAATCCTCCAGCTAGATGCCAAAGACAATAAAATAACAATGATTTTAACATCACACCAATGAGGGAAACAGTTATTTGTAATTTACTGTTTATTTTCATATACAAAAAGATAAACTTGAAATAGTTCTTTCTAGGTTTTTTCCTCCTATCTGTTGGGGTGTAGCTGCTTCACACAGGGCAAATACTACATTCATACTGGTTTATTCGGACACCCAGTGCAAAGCTGAAGCAGCAAAACTCCAACTTGGCAGATCTAATTTCAAACTTGAGACTCATTTCTAAAATACCACAGTAAAAAGGAACAAAGATCCACTGCAAATTCATGAACTATGATACAATGTTCTTTCCAAAATGTCTTCATTTCATAACTGCAATACAATGGATGTCTGCATTAGGCCATTTTATATGTACATTTTATATATACATACTTCTGCAGAATATATATATAAAATATACATATATGAAAAATCAGCACACTTCAATCCAAAAGGGGTTACAGCAACGAGCTTAACTCTCTGTATACTTTTTTCTTTAACAGGATACTTTAGTATAACTTTTGTTAACTCAGTAGTACAAGCTATCTCTGTTCTACATTTTTTATAGCTACAAGAGTGAAATATAACCTACAACATTTACATTTCACATATCTTGGTATACAAACAGTACTTATTGAATTTGAGCCAAGGACCAAAAGACTCTTTAAAAATTATTTCACCATCTGATAGAGCTTCCTGTAATTTACACTCAGTTTATTCTGCAATCTTCTAAATCATTTACTTAATCTCATAGTTTGAGTTTAAATCCATTCAAACTGGAAATCCTGGAGAAACAGGTTACTGCAAACTCTTATGTATACTCTATATATACAAGTTAAGTAACACAGCGTAATAAGACTTAGCTATTTATCCTAAAACTGATATACACATATTTCACTACGCTAGACAAGTCTTAGGATTTTTATTTTATTTCTTTAAATAAAGCACAAATTTAGAAGTAGCTGGTAAAACTTACAATAAGATGGTTTAAAATGACAAATGGTTAGGGTGAGATTTCTTCCTGCTGGTGCCAAAACATTTTCTTGTGAGTTTTTGTACTATGCTGTGTTGTTTAACTGTATGCGTCTAATGTTACATGCAGAAAGCTCTTTCCACAAGAATTGACATCAAACTGTACTTAAGTCAACTTTACAGTACAAAATTTGTCAAACTTAGGGACGAATGTGAAAATATTAACAGGTGAAAGATCAGGCTTTCAACTCTATCACGAGGATCATGCAGAATTCGTTAAGCAGATAGTTTGAACAGACTGACAATGGCATTGTGCGGGCTTATGGCATAGAACTGAGGCCAAGAATGTTACTTAGTTTGCAGTAACCACCTCCTTCAATCCTGATCCACCGACAGATGGGCTTTTGCATCATAGTTATTCCATTGGAAGGCCAGCAGCATTGCAAAATGCCTCCTCCTGGGAGATTTTAGTACTTTGATTTACCAAAGATAATAATCATCAACCATCAACAGCCATAGAAACATTAGACAGTCAAGAAAAAAATGGGGAAAGGGAACCGTCTAATTTTCTTCCTTTACTAATAGTAAATTAATTACTAGTCATTCATTATCAGTAATTAAATGAATTACTAGTAATAGTAAATTCATTAGTATTTGGACAGGAAAGCTACTATGTTGTCCAAGTAAAATATAGACTCTAATGTTGCATCAACTACATGGATACATCTTTTAAAAACAGATATTTGGGAGGGGAACACATACAGTAAAATGTTAATGTAAAAAATGGTCTAACTTTTTATTTTTCCACAGAAAATACAGCCTGAAAAGAATTCTCTTCAACAAAGTACCACTAAGAAGTTGCTGTAGTTGAAGGTCTGATTTTACAAGAAGATTCTTGGGAGAAAGTAGCTGGAAAAAGAAAAGGGCCAGACAGGTTCTACGTCTTGTCAACATGATTTTTGCTATACACAAAGTTGCTCTGGTGCTAAGTCCACCTTCAGGAGCTATGAGATGGTCCAACCTCCTCTTCCTCCTCTGTCATGGCTGGATTTTTGGTTTAGGTTGTTTTTTGGGGGTTATTTTGGTGTTTTAACAGAGGTGGCAATGCTGAGATGCCAGCGACTACTGAATTAGGATTTTAATTGACTAGGATGGTTACTGGTTCAACTTCAGTTCATCAAAACAGTGGAAAAATTGAATAAAGTATGGCCAATGCCTTACTCATCAGAGAAACAGAAGCTACAAAATCTTCCCAGAACCTGTTTTAGTTTTGCAATACCAACCTTACTGGAATGTTATACACTGAGTTTTTGCCTTTTAACACCTGGAAAGATTAAGAGGCCTCTGCTTCAAAATCGTCCAAAAAATGCAGAAATAATGTTTTATTCGCATTATCTGCCCCATTAAAATACTGAAATAAAAGGCTAACAAAGGAAGCACTTTTCAGAGAACACTTTTTCTTGATAGGTATCCAGCACAATGCCATTATAGAGCTTCATAGAAGTCCTTTTGGTTTCAATGTTGGAAAACAAAATAAGTTTTGCTTTTTTCCTTCAGTCCTTGGGGATCACTTTCTGTTGAGATATATATATATATCATATATATACATGTATATATGTATATGATACATATATATAAACACCCATATATAGCAAGGTTCCTGTTTGCAATATGTTACAATATTGTAGTATCAAGGAGAATCCAGATAGCAACACTGTTTAACATGAGGTTTGAGGTAATTGGTTTTTGAAATACCTGGATCACAGACTGCATCCAGAAATAACAGCTGGGCAATGAAAAGTGGGGGATATTTTTTCAGACAGAAAAAAGAAAAAAAAAAACTAGTAAAAGAAAAAGAAAGCTTACAGCAGTTGCTTTTACATGGAAAAATAAAGGCACAACAGAATAATAGCATTACATTTCAGAACAGCTGGATGGACGTAACACAAGTGTGATCTCCTTCTGTGGAAGTGTCCTGACAAAAAGGATTGCTGCTTACTCCATAGGCTACTACTTCAGTCAGGGAACAGAGCATCACCCTGAAATGAGTTACAAAACAGGAACTCCCATGTGAGTAAGGGACCAGGTGTGCTTGAAAGGTGTTCCAGGAACACACGCGCACTCGTGGTCACACAGGATTGGATGGCAACTCTCTCCCTGATTTTCCACAGGGCCAGGACTTCACCCAAACACAGTTGAAGGACTCAGCAATTCTAGAAGCCTGCTTGAAGTGGTGTAAGCACTGATTTCAAAAGGCACACTGTCAAACCAGCTCCAAGGTAGAGCCATGTATTGTTTGGTTTAAAGCTTTCTTCAGTAACTCTTACCCAGTGACTCTGTGCTGTCAAGGTTAAGAGAACTAAAAAACCTGCAGTGAATTTTAGGTCTGATGGAAAAATAAGTTAAAAAAACCCCCACGTTTTAAGTTGGTTTTGCTTTAATACTCTTAGAATACCTTGGTTTGGTTACATAGATTTGAAAAGCTCTCTCTAGGAAGGGCTTTGGATTTGACAGTGCTCCTTTTCTTCAGTGCCTCCGATGCAGACTGTTAAATCTGATGTTGGGAACACAGAGCACATTACCTGTGTGTTCTGGTGAAGCCTGATTAATTGTGTCATTTCAGAGAGAAGGAATTTCTAGGAACTGGTTTTATCAGGACTCTACTGGCAACAGCTCCTTACAGATCATATTGTCAATGCAGCAGACGCAGCTGCTATAAACGGATACGGCAGCGAGCGAGATCAGCCCGGCTATTTGGCCTTGGTAAACTCTTAACACCCTGACTTCACAACTCACTGCAGCACCCCAGCATATGCCAAAAGACACACTGCTCACACATGGATACTCGCATGAATACACGAAAAAACTCTTCCTGGTTTAACTGAAGATGGCCGTAGAAAAGCAATAAGCATCTTTAGCAGAAGGGATGTGACACGCAAGATAACCTAAACATATACTCAGTGCCATCCTCAAAGCATGTCCAAGTACATCCAAACTTGCTCCTCAAACTGTTTTCAGGCTACACTTCTTCTATCCTCTAGACTTTGATGTAGTGCACACTTAATTTAAACATCATATATATATTTATTTATTTGCTGTGCGTACACAGACCTTTCTCCCTTTTCCCTGCAGAAACATATTAGACATTACAAAAATAATTTGTGGTATAAAAGAATTCTCACACAATGTAGAATTTTTGTTTTGTATATGTAACTAAAATATATATATATTTTTCCAAAAGTAAAAAAGTCAAAATGTCCTTATTTTCCTCTATTATATAGTCTATTTTATTTACAATGTTACCAAACAATATCCTGTATGTAAAAGTGATAAAAGTTTGCGGGACACTTCCTGCTTAGCAACTTCTAAAGCGGAGTGTGGCTTGAAGAGGACTGCAACAACAGCACTGTCACACCTTATCAACCAGCACCTTCCTCTGCAATACAAGTTCCTTCCACACCTTTCCCCGGAAAACCAGGGCAAGCTCTTACAGTCTGACTAGAAAGCAGCACAAGAGGAATAAAACGTGTGTTCTCTGTTTTCCGTGCTGTGATATTAAGGGGGATCAGGATTCCTAACGGTGAGGCCTGACCCAGCCAACCTGGAAATATCTGCTTCCACTGAAACCAATGATTTCAAGGGAGAACAGCAAGGAATCAGGAGACCCAAGGAAAATGCAGTGGAATTACCGGGAGGCACTCAAGGACCTTCTCTTCAAAACAAACATACACAAAGATTTCAGCACTTCCATAGGTGTAACTATCTAGCACTGGATATTCTGTAAGAGAATTTCAGCTGAAGAATGAGGCAGCATAAGAAATGGGTTTCTTTTGCCTTAAATAGAAATTTCTTAATGATCAGGATCAGCTAAAATCCTTAATCATAATGAATAAGCCTAGTACTACTTAACTGATGGTTACACTGGTTTATAGCCATCTCTTGTAGTATGCACCTATATTTTAATATAAGCCACATACAATTTCCAGCCTTGCTGTACTAATGCAATTTCATTAGCAAGTCACAGCTCTATCATCTCAAAAAAATACCCCTATTTTAGCCTCTGTGATATTTCCAGATTAAAAATGTGAACTTAAACTTTGTTCACCTAGGAAACCAGCACAGCCAGTGCAATAAATTCATAAAAGGGAATTACACTGGAAGGATGGGGAATCGTGGCTCTGAAATTCAAGGAGAATTTTTACTCAGGATATTTAATGTTAGTATTCACCTCAGAACTGCCATACAAGAGAGGAAGGTCACCAATAAAATTCTGCCGTCAAGTTTTTGAAGACCAACTTCCTCTATGTCTAAATGGGAAGTGAAATTTAGTGATTGGGAAGTAACAGAAGAGAGGTGTTGTTCCCGTCCTATTCAAGGAAGCGTTAAGAGCAAAAGAGTTGCAGTTGCTTATGACAGCTACACCTATGGATGTGCCCCATTCCTGACTTGGAAAAAGCCTCTGTAGCACCAAACAGAGCCAAATCATATTGTCAAATGCTAGATTAGTGGTGAAGGAACTACTTACTCGGCAGTTCAACTGTTGAAAAACCAATAAGTTAAAAGGAGCTTGTTTTCATTAATAAAATAAATACCAGTTTAAAAAAAAAAGCTTGAGCCAAACTCGTACAAATTTGGAAATAAGCGAAACTTCAGGATTTCCTTCTCTGCTGCAATAGCAAGACACACGTACCTACATACATATAAAACTTGTAACTCAGCACACACGCAATTTGGAAATTCTTTTTAAAGTCAGTTTCTGAAACCTGCTGACAAGATGATCTATAAGGAACCATTACACCAGGAAGATGTAATACTTTACAATCAATGTTCGGTCAAGGTTTGTACGGTCGTGCAGTTCCCCGCAGTAAGATAAGCTACATGTGAGAATTTTTGTTTATGCTTTCTCAAAAGAGAATATTTCAGACACTGTCTAATAGGCTATGAAAATCATATGGCACTTTCAATAAATACTTTAAAGCTTCTTAAAGAAATCAGGATAAAAAAGCAACTGCTGTAATAAGCCTGTTTTAACTATTATACGTAATGCTGAAGGAAAAAATCCAGAAGAGCAAACAGATATTAACAGTTAAAAGACAGTACAGCTTTTTTTCTTTCTGCAGCAATATGAACTGGCTCCCATTCCCGGGGAAACGGGAGCAAGCCCACCTCGAAACAAGTAATTCACTCAACCTTAACTGCTCTACGCTCCACCCCAACCCTTACATCACTTCACTTCTAAAACATAGTCACATTATTATATAAATCTCAGTGCAGAAATGTATTAAACATGAAAAATACTGATCCTGCAAACATTTACAACCACGCTTAACATCAAGTGAGTGCCTAATGTCATGACACCAGAAGAGCTACCTACAGCCTTAATGCCAAGCGTAGGTATGTTGCAGCATCAGGCCCAAAGATGCCAACCCCCAGTGGGGACATCAGCTGGGTCAAAATGGTATCGTTCTGTCTGGTTTTGTCAAGGTTTTTCTCAACATCAAGAAACATAAACTTTCAAACCTACACACGGAAACACAGTTACATGTGTGTACACACTAATATGCAATATACATTCAGTAACTTGAAAGAATAGGTTAAGACTTTATTCAGATAGACAAATTAAGGCAATTCTCTTAATGTCTCTTCAAGATAAAGGACCATGTCCTCATTTGTGACCTCTAGGTTTTAAAGCTATACTTTTCAAGAAATATATTTCAATTTTCTTTATATTTTCTCCAATTAGCAGATTTGTTTGCTTAATAAATTATATCTGTGCAAGGGTGCACACTGATAATTTGGCAGTGGCGAGAAGTCCAATTCATTTACATAATACAGACTTTTTACATTTCCGTTACAGGGTGATTAGTTTAGGACTGCATTTTGGCTTAACACAAAGGAAAATTTAGAAGATCTGGCCATCCAATGGACATAACTTTGTCAGTCTAGCAAGACACAGAATTCATGTTATATTCAAAGTAAAAAAAAAAAAAAAGGAAAAAAAATTAAAAAAAGAAAAGAAAAAAATGATGTACTGTCCTTTCACTAAAACAGACCAAAAAAAAAAAATAACACAGAATGGAAACAGCCTTCACAAATAAGAGTGAATAATGCCCAGGTACCTTATATAGGCAGTTATTCTACAACTGTATACAGTTATTTACAATGGTGCTTTATTAAACAAAACAACAAAAAAATGGTAGCACTTCCTAAAAGATTTTGGAACTTTTTTTCTTTTTTTTCTTTTTTTAAAACTCCCTTGTCATAAAAGCCAACTTACATTAAAATATACTTACTACAAGACAACATAACTAACAAAATATATAATAAAACTCATACAAGTAGAAAATTCTGAGGTATTTCTGGTTTGAGGTGGTCTGTGGTCATGAAGTTTTAAATTTTTTTTTTTTCAGTTTAAACCTCGGAAGCCACGTAATGTGTGTGTGTGTGTTTTGTGTTTGTTTTTTTGTGATTTTTTTTAAGTTTTTTTTTTTTAAACATTGCATGTTTTGCAAATTAAAAAAATATTTCATTGTTGAATCAGCAGCATTAGGAACATTCACTGACTAGAGCGAGTTTATGGCATAATAAGAGTAACGGTATCTTAGAATATGCACCACTTTAAGACAAAAAAGTTTCATCACAGAGTAAGGAGAGAGCAGTGTCAAAGAAACCGGTCAGAGAGATGCTGTGGGAATCACTGTTGCTGCTCAGCTGGGCAGCCCATAGGGTTCTCAACGTTCTTCAGGTATTTTCACTCCCCCAACTCCAAATTAATAAAGAAAAAAATTATATACCCAGTTTCTACCCTTTTCCTCTTTCCACCTTCTGCACCGGTAGCTTGGGCTGACAGATAATCAATCCAAGGCCAAATTTCCTCAACTGACTCACACTTCAAATGAGATGCAAGAATTTTCCCATCTTCCAGTATTTTACCAAAGTGCTTCTGAAAGCACACTTTCCCACCTCTCCTGATTACACGGCTTAAAAGCATCCTTCCCACTGCTACCTGGAGTCAAAAAAATAAAAGGTAATTATAGTTCTGCTTTGTTCTTTTACTGCCAAGCCCAAGATTCTGGAGGAATAAAGAACTACCGCCTCGCTTCCAACCATTGTCTCTTTAACTCTGCTTTCTCCACACTCTGCAGCCGTTAATACTCTGCCCAGAAATGTCCTTCCCCTCCTCTAATGGTTACCTGAGAAGTAGCTCCATAGCAAATGATGTTTCCCCAAATGCTGCCAAATCCAACGTCACTCTCCCCACCCCTATTCTACGCTCCCCCCTTCAATTCTACCATCAAGAATTAACATTCTCCGCCCAGTTACTTTTTTTTCCATGTTACAATGACACCCGTTAGATCCGTAAAGACACATCTGCTGTTTTTTTTTGAAGCTCACTTCCAAAAAAAAAAAAATAAAAATAAAAAAGGAACTGAACCCAAAACCAAAACAAAATGGGGAAAAATCCTTTTGAGGAAGGTGTGTTCTTTATATAACAGTCTTAAGTTTCCTCCACAGTTTGCAGCATTGCGTTTTTGAAGATGGTAGGTGGTTTTCCTTTATGTCACATAAGCTTTATGTCACAGATGCTCCGCTCAGAAGACAGACTGATAAAGAGAAACCCAGAAAACTGAATAAAATAAAAACAACTGAAGTGAGTTTGTTGAGGTTCTGAGGTACCTGCACCTTTTCTGCATTCATTAGTCGGCACCTGAATGCTTGCTGAAATGTCCATTTTTTTTAATACAGTAGAGCAATGTGCTGGTAAAATTGATCCAATCCAAAAAAATAATAATAATAATAATAACAATAATAATAAAAAGTCAAGATAAAATAGCAGCTGCATTCATGGGTTTGTTGGATTTTTGTGTTTTGTTTTTTTTTGTATTTTTTTTTTCCAAACTTTTTCCTTGTTGTTTTTTGTCGGTTCTTTTTTTTTTTTTTTTTTTTTTTTTTCCAAATCCACTGAGTCTGGAAAGACAAAAGTGAACCAGGACCCCCAGGACTCAGATACTAGACTCTTTGGGTGGCAAGTCCACGTTGGTGACGGACGTCACGATGGAGACGAGGCAGTCCGAGGTAGTGCCGTTTACGGATTTGCGGATCTGCGCAATGCGCTCCTCGACACAGCCCGCCGAGAGCCGAGCCTCCGCGTCGTGGTCCCAGCACTCTTCGATGGTCACGCAGAGCTGCGCCAAGCCCTGCAGATGAAACGGGGAGAAAACACCTTCAGCAACATCATCTGCTCCCGGGACTGCCCTCGAAGAGGGTGGTGAGGTCCACTTGGCACAGCCTAACGCTGTAAAGAAAACCTCTCCATGATGTGCCAATTACCATAGGATAAGCTTTAACAATTACTTTAAATATGTGTTTTCGCGTTTAAGCTTTTGCTTTCTAAGGTTCTAAGGCTTGGTCGCATCCAGTCCCTAAAGTACTTTTTTAATATCAAAATAAATCCCAAGATTCAGCAGTCAGAGCTTTAAAAGACAAGACAACAAGAATTACGATTCCCTTGATAAAACTGTGAGAGCTGGCAGCACTGTGTCAGTTACTATGAAACCACTGCTTTGTTTGCAATCACTTCTCTCCATATCCCCAAAATAACTGAATTCAACAGTGCTGGGAGAGCACAGCTCTTATTTGAACCCTCATTTGAAGTAGAACACTAATCTTTTTCTACCACCGGCAGCTCTCCCTGACTTCCAGGCAGTGAGGTGGTACACCTAAGTCTAGCCAAATCCATGGCAGTTTGGTCAAAATAGAGGCATTTGGCTTCTTACTGAAGCCCTGTGAGACGTCATCATCTGTTCTGTTTCCCAATCTGAGAAAAATCAGCTCTTTCATTAGAAACATGAGCCTGAAATGATCTACCTCTGGGAAACCCATGCTGCGTTTTGCTTCACTGTCTGCTTGCCTTCACGTCTAATTAATTTTTTCCTCAAAAAACTGTTCCAAGTCTTGCATGTCATCTAGCTTGTGAGGAACATGTCTTCAATGATATGGATCATTTTCTTTTTCTTAATGAAAGGACTTTATTTTCCATTCTTTCACCATATTAAAGGAGTCCTACTAAACCACCACACATTCAGCACTAGCTCATTAATCAGCTGGTTTACTCTCTAAATACAAGGGGAGAACAGAAAGGGGAGCACAAAGGTGTTGAGCAACCCCTCATTCCCCAGCACTGATTCTCTCTAGCACTGGGAATGGCTAACCACATCCCTCATTCCCATCACACAGGAAAGTATTTTCCACTGTTAACCAGGAGGGACGTACGGGATGTTTTAACCAGTGATCCTTGAACACAGGGCGCATCTTCTTGTGAACCACCACTTCTTGCAGGTCCTCAAGGGATGGGTGCTGACCTATTTCTTCTTCAAAAGGCAGCATGTATTCATCCACTGGACCTAAGGTGCACACAGAGAATCGGGTTAGCATAGAAATGTTCTCTGCAGAGCCACGTCCTCTCCATGCATGAGAGAGCTGTGGCTCCAGAGCAACCTCAACCCACTGCAACAAAGCCTGACATTCACATGTCACTGCAGACAAATGTGATTTACATTCCTCCTGCACAATGGTCTTTGCTGTCCCTGCTGCTTGTCTGGACACGCATTTTCCACCTCGTTGAGTTACGAATCCGAACCCTCAGCTGGGCCTCCTGATCCCACCGCTCTCCTTGAGGAAGCTGGCCTGGTAGTCTTTGATTTATTTTAATAGAAAGAGCAAATCAGTCCATCCTTCCCACATTTTAGCATAGCAATTCAACACACAATAACTTAGAGAAAGGTTTCAGCATGAGAATAGTTTCATTTTAGCACTGACTAGTGAGGTCAACTATATGCAACACTTAGAGTTTCGTGCTTCGTGATCTGGCTTGCTCATAGGTTTGAGTCAGCCCTGACATGCTGGAGCCAGACGCACTTGTTCCAGGTACCAGCTCCTAAGTGTAAAATGATTTCTGAACACTTTAGTTAGACCAGTTATGGCTGTCAACTGCCCTGGGCCACGGGAATGAGACAACTGCTATGAGTATCAGTGTAGATGCTGGATGGTAGCAATAACTTCGGCTTATTGAAACATCATTTGGCTTTTGGCAACGTGTAGATGCTCTCTCAAAAACAGCAGCTCATCTTAACTGATTGGCTTTCTCAGGGTGCTCAGTGGCATCACTAGCGGTTTCTCAGCAGCAAAAAGCAATCACTTGGAAGAGTAGAGGTATTTCAAGAGGGTCTTTCCAGATTAAAATAAAAGAGCTGACCACTTCATCTGGCCATGAACTGTGACACCAGCAACATGATGTTTAAGTACTCTAAAAAATGAAATCACTAAACTGGCTTTACCATTTTTCTTGTTGACTCAATGCCAGTCAGTAAACCAAACTGAAACACTCGCTCCAACAGAGGGCTCAGTAACGCTCATGACTTTCCTCTCCTCTTCCTCCAAGAGGAATCCAAGCTATGGAGAGCTGCACTGGTGATCTCCAAGCAAAATCTGCTGTTTACACAACATCACTTCTGAGCTAGAAGTGCAAAAGGAAGCTTTCCCTCTGATTTAATGGTGCTGTGTGTGGCACCTGGAGTATCTTGGCCAGCTGCTACCTGAGAAGAGTGGAAAGGAGATCACAAAGGTGGCAGAAAAAAATTCAAGGGGATATTTGGGGTACCTCAACAGAGAAGGGTTAAGCCTACATGAGTGACCTGAGTACCACTGTTTCACCCTACTGTGCTCCTCAGTTCCTGCTCCTCCAGCATTTTACCTGGTTAGATTGTAAATTTTTGAAGAAGAGATCTTCTATTATCACACACCTGTGCAGACATCCTAATTATAATCAAGCTCCTCAGTACTCCTGTAATGCTAACGAAAACATTTGAAGTCCAGCTGAGGTGCTGCTGTTTTATGAACTTCAGTTCAGACCACCCATATCTATACAAGAAAAAAGTTGGAGGAAGCAGCCTGGGAGCTACTACAATGACATGATTGCTTTCCTGTCCAGGGGTGAGGTCCTGCACATGGTGAAGGAGTCACCAAAGGGCAGATGTGCTATTTGGACAGAAAAGATGCCTCACTGTCCCACATAATTTTAAGATAAAAAACCTGACACCAAGCAGACACCATGAAGTTCATTCTTTTAGATCCTTCAGGAGAAAGTGAGGTACTCCAAAGCTGTGGATAGAACAACTCAGCCCACTTCTGAGAGAAAGCCCACTTCATCAGCAAAAGTCAAAGATCAATAACTAACGACTTATGACAGCAGGGAAACGGGCTCGCTGACCCAGGTAGGTCCTTTCAGCCCCATGTTCCCACTATTTTGCTGAGGTGTTTTCCATTCAGGCTACCACACTGACCTGCATAAGCAAGGTGACAGCCAAGGTGGCTGCATAGCTCTTCTCTGGAGCTCAAAGCCTACTTGGTCACAGGCAGGAATGCAGAGTGCCAAGAAGAGCAGCACAGAGCAAGCTCAGGATTAAAGGACACTCATCCTGGAGGAACCCCCTACTCCTCCTTCTGAGTTCTCAGCAAATTTGCAATGCAACCAACGTAGTAAAAAGCACTTTGAGACTTGAACACTACAAAGGTTATTATCTACAGAGAGTGACAGCTTATGTTAAAAAACAAATGAAAAACAGGTTCGCTGCTTAAGAAAAATATGCTATTGGTTGTCATTTTTTTTAAACAGAGACAGAGCCATTCTCTGGACCACCAAACCACACTGAAACCGAGCCCTCCCCAGGGAAGAGAGGATCTTTATTCTTACCATCAACTGCTCTACATCTGGAGACTAGCTCCCACAACACCAGTCCCATCGCATACATGTCTATCCTCAGGAACGCATCTCGTTGGAAGTTGATTGCTCCCTCTAACACTTCGGGAGCCATATACCTCCTTGTTCCCACCTGCAGAGAAAAAACACAACTCAAGTTACATTCCAGTTGGGCCCCTCAGCCTCCTCTGGCTGGAGATGAGTGACAGCTGCTCTCATTGCCCTTGAGGCCACTGCTGCTAAAGGTGCACCTCACTGGAAAAACAAGCAAAAGGGAGCTGTTTCTTCTGACACCGATTCTCATTAAGATCACTCGAGTCCAGATAAGCTACATGAAGGGAAAAGCCAAAGTGCCTGGCTACGTGTGTGATATTCATTCAGTGCACATTACAGGTCCAATTTAAACGCAGTGTGGCACGCTGAGTATGGATGAAATCCTGCCCTCCCTGCATCCCACTGCTTGTTGCTCCAGCATCACACACAGCATGAGAAAATGCTGTCTTTGGAGACATACAAAACACCTGAGGTCAAATCTGACTTGGTTATCCTAGTCATTGAAAGTCCAATCCTCTTTCACTCAAAGAAACAACAACAAAAAAAATATATATATACATATATATATAAAAGCAGAGAAGAGAAAAATTGATATATCCTGAAAAGGTAGGAAAAGGTGTTGGTTTGACAGGCCTGGGTAAAACAATCTCCTGCATCCACAGAAACAGTAAAACATGAACCCTGCAAAGTCCACCTTGCTCTGGTTTGCCATGGTTTGGAAAAGATCTCATCTTGTTTTGAGGGAGATTCAGTCCTCATTAGAGTGCCTCCCTTGTGTGTTTAGCCCATTATGTAGGAGAATGGAGAGGACAGCAAGGGAGAAGCACCTTTTTAATACAGGAATTAAAACACCTTTAATATTTTCCTTTAAAGAAATTCTCTTCTGTTCTTGCTGTTACCTGAGGCACTGAGGACAGGGGGAAGCCAGGATGTGGAAAGGTGTGCAAAATACAGAAATAGTAAAAAAAAAAGGTGACAAAAACGAGGAAAGCTGGAGAAGGCTAACCCAGAAGAGAGTGTTCACTCTTTCTGAGATAAAGGTAAAAAAGGGAGATTGCACTGAAGCTGGGAATTAAGAAAACCCCAGAGACACAAGGACAGGATGATGGATTCGTTGTGCCCCAGCACGAGAGAAGAATGAGGGGCCCCTCACTGTAATGCAAAGGTAGAAAATTAAGAACCCATAAAAAATGTAGTCAATTGTTTACAGAGTGCACAGCCAGCTGTGCCAATGGTCAACCAAGCAGCCATCCTGGCTGAATTCTTAAAATCAAACTAATAATTTTAAAAGTATTGATATTTGTATTGTAGTATTAATATTAATATTTAGGAGCATTAATATTTGTGTTACAGTCTAGAGAAGTATTCTGTGCAGTGGGTAGGAACTGGCTGACAGGTCACACCCAGAGGGGGGTGGCAAATAGCTCCTTCTCAAACTGGCAACCTGTCCCAAGTGGGGTCTCCCAGGGACCCACATGGGGCCCAACACTGTTTAATATCTTCCTAAGTGATGTAGATCATGGGATCATGTGTAACCTGGTAAAGCTCGCTGATGATATCAAACTGAGTCAGGAAGTGGACACTTTGGAAGGGACAGACACCCTGCATGAAGACCTGGATAGGCTGGAAGGGTGGGTTAACAAGAATCTTAATAAGTTGGAGTGCTGGACAGTAGCTCTGTGGGAAGGGTCCTGTGGGACTACAAGTTCAGCATGAGTATACATGGAGCTGCTGTGGTAGAGGGTCAATGGGATGCTGGGCTGCACCAACAAGGGCATCACTAGAAAAAAATAAAAGAGTCATTATCCCGCTCTGCTCAGCTCTTAGCAGGCCACATCTGGAATACTGTGTTCAGTTTTGGTCCTTGTTACACAAAAAATACATGGACAGGCTGAAGAGGGTCTGGAGAAGGGCCACAGAGATGATCAAAGGGCTGGTAAGGCTGTCTTATGAGCAAAGGCTGAGAGAACTGGTTTATTCAGCCTTGAGAAAAAAAGGCTGAGGGGAGACCTGGTCACAGTGTTCCTTGTTCACAGCATTTAAAGGGTGGCTGCAAAGAAGATGGAGACTCTCTTTTTACAGGGAGTCAAATGGAGATGAGGGGCAATGGGTACAAGTTACTCCTGGAAGATTCTGATTGGACACAAGAGGAAAGTTTTTCACAATGAGAACAATCAGCCACTGGAATAATCTCCCTAGGAGAGTGGTGGATACCCCAACACTGGACACTTTGAAGAGTCAGCTGGACAGGGTGCTGGGCCATCTTGCCTAGACTGTGCTTTTGCCAAGAAAGGTTGGATTAGATTATTCTTGAGGTCTCTTCCAACACAAGATAATCTCTGATTCTATGATTCTGTGAATATTTATTACTGAAACCATAAAGAATCAATTAGCCCTGTGCCTGAAGGAGGAAGCCACCTGCCCCCAAGGCTGAGGGGACCTCACCTGCACAGTGGTCAGGAGGGTTCGAGCACTCTCCCCATTCACCAATATTAGAGCATCTCCTGGAATGTATGACTGAGCATAAGCTCTTATGGAAAAATACATATCTCAAAGAGAATTAAATGCATCTATACAAACTACCACCCTGACTCCCGAGGAGCTGTGGCAAGCCCAACGTTTTAAAATGTTAAAAATAATGATTACCTGTCCATGAGTGTCCCCTGGAGGTTTTCCAGGTTCAAACCGTACAGCTAGTCCAAAATCAGCTAGCACTGCCGTCAAGTCATTCTTCAGCAAGACATTTTTACTCTTGAAGTCCCTGTGGACAAGCCAAGAAGTAAGTTTGGGAAGGTTTTACTATGGCACACATCTAAATCACAATGCAACACAACACAACGTTGCATGTCTACAGACGTTGAATGTCTACAGGTTTACCAGCTCCCAGTAAACCAGCTCCTTCCTTCCTTTCTTCCCCAGCTTCCCAGCACGGTCAGTGCTGACAAATTTGGCTGCCTCTCTCTGCCCTTGTCACTAAAACACAACCAAGCAGCCCTGAGCTTTCCCGCACAGAGTCGGCCGAACTCCCCATTGAATTAATCTCAAAATGAAATCTCATCTGAAGGGGCTATTTTAATTAAAGCAAGCAGTATATAAGGCACCATTTCTTGCTCCAAGCACTGGCTCTGGACCCCCAACTTTGGGCATTTCCCATTCCCAACAGTAAGAACAAGACAGGTTAAGGGAGTACATTACTCTTTATCTTACTAAGGATGTTTGCTCCTATCTACAAAATTAGATCTTTCTGGAAATCAGTACCTACTGGTAGGACTCTCTCCACCCTGACTACATGCTTCAACAGACTTTGGCCATAGTCATGATTAGCCTTCTGTTTTAATTGCTGGATCGATCTTCCCTGGAGAATTCAGGGAAGCAAGCAGAGAATGGGGTGAGCCCACGCTTGGACACACTGTCAGGATTGGACTGGGCAGCTGACAGGCAGGTGTTAAGCATTTGCAGTAGATATGGTGGGTCTGTTCTTGAAGGGGACATTCGTGTCAGTCCTGTGCTGCAGTGGGATCATTTCAGGGCAGCTCAGGTGAATCTGCAGGGGCTGGAAAGGGTAGGGGGTGGAGGAAGATCACACCGAGATGCCTAACCACTAAAGCCCTGTTCCCTGGGCTTCCTGCATTTTCATCTGAAAAGGAATGTTTGGCAATCTAATTAAATTACAGACCTTAGACAGCAGATGGCAATTGTCCTGAATGCTCAGCATTATAATTTCCCTATCATCAATTCACTCGGTGACCCTGCTGATTGCAGGACATTGCGGGCCTGCACAAAATAATTAATGAGGGCAGATACAATTGTTCCACACTGGAGAGACCTGTCAAAATTCTTTGTGAAGAGAGAAACTGCTGGACCATAGAGAAGAGCTGCTCTCTGCAGCCTCAGATGCCAGAGCATCAGCTCAAAGCACCGTGAGCAAAAATCATCCTGTGCCACCCAGCCCCTGATTCTGAGCTTAAAAAATCAGACGAGAGGATTTATCCTTTCTAAGCTAAACACAGCGTGATGGGCATTTCTGGCTTGAGGATTAAGATGGGGGAAGTGGGTGTGAAGTTGGAGAGCACCATACAGCCAGTGAACCCCAGCAGAAAACAGCCCCCATCACCTCTGGGGACACAGTACAGCTTTACAGAGCCCCCAAAACATTGGTACACATCTGTTACACAGAATAAACCAGTATTCACCTAATACCTGTCATCTTAGAGGCTGCCTGTTTTCATGCTATAGCAGTTTCCCCACAGGCTCAGAAAACAGCCATCATCTAATGACATGGATAAACTCCTTTGCTCGCCCAGCATTAGGGGATTATGCCCTCAGGATGGTACAGATTGTGCACGAGATTTTTGCGAAATGGTGGCTCAGCGAGGCCCACACAGAAACTGTCAGACAGTCTGCCTGAACAATATAGTTCTGCTGTGATGTGAGATGTAAACCAATATTATTGGTTTACATGCCCATGGTATGGGCATGTATTGCTGCTGCTCACCCTCACTGCCCTTTGGGCATGCAACAGTTAACTCCTACATCTTGATGCCTGATAAAGGGATTTCCCTTTTCACTTCCTTCCCTCTCCCCCCCATTTCCATAAATTCCCCCATTTTTCCACGCTTTCCTTCCTTCTTTCCACAAACCACCTTGAACTGGCAAGTGTTAGCTGCGGTGCAAACATATCTAGGCCGGGGAGAGGGACCTGATCCAAACCATGCCAAGTAGAATTTCCACTAAAATTGCATGCATTAAACCATCCTAAAATGGTCACTGATAACGGAAAGTGGCATGAAAAGAAGAAAATATTCTTTTCCATATAACGCTTCAAAATGTTAGGGAACACAGAGCAAGCAGATTATGAGTAATGGGTGCACTATCTTGATTTAGACACTGGAGATTTTATTTTCAGCTTCCACGTGGGGGCACTTTCGCACCAACAAGCGATTCCATAACCTTAATCCTCCTTACAGTGCTGGGGGCCAGTGAGGAGCTGGCTGAACCTCTGCCCAGCAGGGACTGGGGAGTTCCACCTGGCAATCCCAGCATCTCGGTGCGCACTGTGGGAAGCCTTTCAAAAATACCCCCTCCATCCCCCTCCCCAGATTTAAAATGCATTTAGTGTTTTCTTTTAAAAACAAAATTAAAAGGAGTGGGGTAATCCAAGAGAAATCCCCTGTGTCCTGAAATCCCTCTTCCATAGGTATGTGCTAAATTCACACAAATGCTGCATTCTCCAGCTTTTATAATTTGCTAAATGGACAAGGACACTAATGAGCACGATCTGTTGCTTTAAAGCCTTTCTACAGCCTTCCTCTGTTCCCCACCCTCAGGAATTTTCATCTATAAACCACTGCCTTTATTCCACAGGGACAAATGTCAGGGACACAGGGGTCAGCTCCAGGAGCAGCACAAAGGCAGCTGCAGGCTCTTTCAACAGCCCCCAACCTCTCCAAAACCTTCAGGTTTGGGGAGGTGGGGTGTTTTGGGGGCAGGGACACCCTTGCAGAAACAGAGATTATCTTGCCACACATAAAGCCGGTCCCACTAGATTGGGTACAAATTGCTGCAGCTGGACATGGGGTTTAAGTCCCTCCTGGATGAAATGTGGTGGGTGGTGGGGGAGTATGGCCACGGATTACGGCCTGTAGCCTGCGTAAATCCCTTCTGGAAACCGCCCCCACCCTGCCCTGCCACCAGCAAACCACTCAGGAGAGATGCTTTAGTCCAGGGCAAGCAATGTGGGACTCCGGAGAAGGGGCAAAGCAGTGGGGATGGTTTAACCCACTGCTTTCTGGATTCACACTGTCCCCACGGTGCTGCCGCCCAGGTAGGTTGAAGCATGTGCCAGGAGGTCTCAGAGGCAGGGTGGTGCCTGCTCTGGTATCTCTCATAATCACCCTGGCATGATTTGGGCTCTATAAAACTACAGTGAAAAATAAATAGTGGCCATTTTCTGTGTTTCCAGTTTCTCCGTTACTTACCTCGTGATTAAAATCTCTGTGGGAAGACACATGGTGGAGTTATCAGTCTAAACCAGGGAAAAATAGGGTCCAACTCCTGGTACAGCCATAGAAATACACAGACTATAATGTGATGATATTATCAAGTAAAGTCCTTTCAAAAAGCAGTTCTGCAGCAAACAGTATTCCCTTCCCACTACACGTCAAGAGAAGAGTTGATGGAAGAGGGAAGCACCTACCCTTCGGACATTTGCCACCAACTACTACTAACTATACTATTTCATGGACGTGACACTTAATTTGCTCTTTACCATTTCATATGTAGTTGAAAAAAATTCTTGTCTTAGCATAGGATTTGTTGGGTTAAAAGGCATTTAATTCCTAAAGGCACAACCTCCTCCTCCATTCAACAGCATCATCTCAAAGACGCTGCGAACGTTTGCACGCAGCACCTGAATGGTGTCAATGAAAAGAGGCCATACCTGTGTGCTATAGCAGGTTTGTGTCCTTCACCTTTGCACCAAGGGACGTCTTCATGAAGGTAGGACAAGCCACGGGCCATTGTTTCTGCAACATGGCAGAGCTCATTCCAGCTGATTATGTTGCCCTTCAGGTAATCCGTCAGAGAGCCCTGCGGAACAGGACATTGTCAGTTCTTAATCCCAGATCCTGCTACGTGACAGATGTGCCAAATCATCAGTTCAGAAAATGGTTTGGAGAGTGCTCGAGAAATTTGAACCTTGATTTAACAGGGGTGAAAAAATCACCAGTGGAAGTAAAAGAAGGAGAAATAAAAATCAGGAGCGTTCATCAATTTTCAGCCCTTGACAGCAGAGACCTCCTGATGTCTGCTTATTTGCCAGGGAAAAGGAGGGAGGTAAGGATGGGAAAAAAATCATCTTAAACCAGAGTAATTCATCTAACCTAAAAAAGGGGAAAGCCTTCCATGCAAGAAGATCATGCATGGTATCAGCTGGTTGTGGTAACGATTGACTCACTAGACCTTGGATTTAACAGAGGGATAACACTGCTGGCTCAACCCTGGATTTGCACGTTTGTTTTATTTTAAGTGTTAGTGATATTTCATAACTAAAGCAGTCCATGAAACAGGAGATGGGACCCAAGTCTCAAAACCAAACACAGACCCCATATACAAAGGGCAAGCTAGGTCTGCAATGGTCTGTGACACCCAGCTCCCACGGGCCCCTCTACACACATTAAGAGATGGTGGCTACCACATACATGAGCTGTGGCCTTTTGTGCCTCTCTCTCTTCCTGGGTCCCACCTTTATTAATCCTGTGTTTGTATAGAAAAGCCTTGAACGCTAAAGGAAGGGCCTTTGAAGGAGGGGAGCAGGAGCACTTCACTACCACATAGTCATGGCCCACCAGGAACAAACTGGATAGATTACAGGGGAGCTTCTGGGTGAATATAAGACACCAAATCCTACTGCTTCACAACCAGCTGCCTCTCTGTCTTTCCAAAACGTACGTGCAATGATACATTACCTTGTCGTGGAAAGCTGTGATTAGCCAGAGCTCTGTTTCCAGGTTTGTCCCTCTTTTCTCTGCTGCGATAAATTGCAAAAGGTTCTCATGCTTCATGCCAGGAGTGTTGAAAATCTCCCTCTCACTCTGCCAAGATTGCTTATCCTAAAGCAGGGAGAAATGCACCATCAAAGATCATTCTTCCCTTTAAAGCAAACAGCTCCTTCAGTTCAGTCAGAGCTGCTCACAGCAGTCTTAAAATCATCTTCCAATGTTCGGATCTGATGTATCCCTTCACAGTGAGGCTGATTCTCTAAAGAGTAGATGCTGGAGAAAGACTGGAAGTTGCTGTTCTTAGTCTCTCCTCTCCAAAATTATCCTCAGATATTCCTAAAGCCCATGTGTGGGAAGGGGGTAGGAATCCAAACTCAACCTCACTGAGAAATAAGATTTCCTAAAGATGCTCGCAAGAATAAAGCCTGTGCATACAGTACCCAGATCTGCCTTGTAGCTGTAATTGTTGCGATTGAAAAATCTAATCTAGGCTCTTTTGAATATTTACTAGTAGGTCACAGCTGGCTTGGACAGAAGATGTGCAAATCTCCTTTAGCAATGCTATGACAACAAATACGGGGTGAAAAAGTAATGAAGAAGGAGACAGTGGAGGAGTACAAAGATGTTCTAGCCATTCTTCTATCATTTGACTTTTGACTGCTTTACTCTTTTCATCTGCAATTCCTAGAGAATCAAGTCAGGACTGTTCAAAGGTTTCCTAGAGCAGAAGACGTGAGCTGACAGAAATGCTGCAGTCCAATTAGCTCTCACAGTGCTGGGGCTCTGCCTTTGGAAGCTGTAAACTGTTTGCTAGGTTTGGGTTCAGATTTACAACAAAGCCGGGGCTCTGGCCCTTTGTGTGCACTCTGGGCACTGCAGCTGCTCGCTGCCTTCCTGGACCTAAACACAGGCATTTGCTGCAAAGTTAAAATACCCTGCAGTTTTCAGAATGTGCTTGGTTTTGCCCTTGTTGCAACAAGTACTACTACAGGAAGCATTTGGTAATGAGATAACGCAGAGAGAAGTGTAGGAAGGAAGGGTCCTTGAACTTTTTCCCCCAGCATGAGAGCCCAAATGCATCTTTGTTATGGTCTTAAAAACCATAATCTCCATAGGCACTTAGAGCGGCACCAGTGAGGAAGCCTGGCAAGCGAGAACTTAATGCAGTGCCCTACTCACCTGAATAGGGAAGATTTTCACTGCTACGTAGTCGTTCATCAGCTGAGCCTTCCACACGCAGCCAAAGCGTCCCCTTGCCTTTATCTCCAAGAGCTGCAGAGGTTTTAGGCCAACCAGGGGAGAAGGGGGTGGTGGGCCAGGGTCCTGCACAAGAGAAAAACACTGTCACCACCTGAAGGTAGACTGTAAAACAAAGTGACAGGAGAAATGGAGAGACTGCATGTGGGGAAAGAAGTGTAAAGAAGCCACATTTTATTTAATACAGATTATTTAGATATACTGTTTGTGGTAAGAACAGCCTGAAATTCCCTATCTTGCTCTGTAAGGTATTGGTATAGAACACATAAAATCATCTACATCTCCAAGTGTCACTTTGTGTGTTGAACTACTGCCTGCCACGCTCTGGTAAAACCTGAATACTCCTATATAATAGCAAGAGCTATTTTGGGCTGTAAAACACCGATGACCTCAAGTCTACCTTCTGTCAAAAGAAGGAACCTCTTGATCTTTGTGACCCAACAGCCAACTACACCTAAAACCTCCCACTGCTTTGCACTTCATTAGGAATGTTCCACATAACCTCAGCAATGGGCAGTAAACAGGTCTGTCAGCACCATAAAGATTGTATCTGTTTAAACTCTGCATTTGTCCAGGAGGGCAGTGGAACCCTGCAGGACGCGTGGGGTTGGAGATCTGTCCTACCTGCTTTCAGATGGGAAAGGTTCACAGTATCATAGAACCATAGAATGGTTTGGGTTGGAAAGGGACCTTGAAAATCATCTCGTTCCAACCCCCCTGCCATGGGCAGGGAAACCTTCAGCTAGACCAGGTTGTTCAGAGCCCCATCCAGCCTGGTCTTGAACAAGTCCAGGGATGGAGCATGCACAATTTCCCTGGGCAATCTGTCCCGGTGCCTCGCCACCCTCACAGTAAAAAAATTTATACCTAATGTCTAATCTAAACCTACTTTCTTTCAATTTGAACCCATTCCCCCTTGTCCTGTCATGCTCTTGTAAACAGTCTTGCCCCACCTTTTCTGCAAGTTTCCTTCAGGTACTGGAAGGCTGCACTTTGGTCACTCCAAAATCTCCTCTTTTCCAAGCTGAACAACCCCAGTTGTCTCAGCCTTTCCTCACAGGAGAGGTGCTCCATTCCTCTGATCAATTTGGTGGCCCTCATCTAGACTCACTCCAACAGGCCAATGTCCTTCCTGTGTTGAGGACCCCAGAGCTGGATGCAGTACTTGAGGTGGGATCTCATCAGAGCAGAGCAGAGGGGCAGAATCCCCTCTCTCAACCTGCTGAGCCCATAGTATGGGCTGTAATGGGCAGAGGAGGGAGGGAGAGGTAGCAGCTCCAGCCTTCAGAAGAAACCAGAAGGCTAAAGGGACAGCAGAGCCAGCAAGGACCAGTTCCTGATGGCTCTGGATGATGAGGATGACCTCCTGCATGCATTCTCTGAGGGCTCATAAAAACTGAGCCTCATCAGGGAAAGCATCTTCCCTCATCCCATAAAGCTGGTAGAACTTTATCATCTCTCTATCTCTTCTCCCCTACAAAGTTGGCCGAAATAAGGCGACAGGTTTGAGAGTTTGGGAGGAAGGGTGGCCATCAAGCAGGGCTGTGTAACTCCATCCTTCAGGAATCTCGGGCATGGTGACAACCCCATCGAAATCCATCAGTCTAACACTAACACAGAGGACAACTGTACCACCAACTTCCAAAAACAGAGAAGAAAAGTTAGGCCATCAGAAAAGAGAGAAGCAGAAGCAGATGTGAACATACACCGCGCAGCCGCCGTGCCTTTTGTAAGGCCCGAGTAAAGGGGAGCAACTCCCTCACCTCAATAATGTCGACGTGCCCGTAGGGAGGCTTGCGGTGCCGGTACATCCAGAATGCCAGGAGGATGGCCATGGAGAGGACTGCGATGGGGAGCAGGGAGTACACCAGGATATTGAGCAGGGAGGGCGTTGGCGGTGGCGGCTCGTAGATGACTGTGAGAAACGAGCAGGGTAAATGAGGGAAAAGGACCCTTCAGGCAAGAAACAGCACTGGCAGCTACACACGTAGATGTAACCAAACCCCATCCATCCTTCTGCCCCAAAGCTGACAATGCTTACTGGTGTGTCCTGTCACACCCAACACTATTCACAAGGCCCCATGGTTTTCTCTGCTCCACATGGCTGTCAGTAATGGAGTTACAATGGTCCAAACCACACTTTGCAAGCTGAGCCTCCATCTGACCTTTATTTAAGATAGGTATTTCTTGCTGGTGTACATAAAAGCAGAACATTTCCTGCTCTTAACCCTTCCAAATGTATTAAGAGAGCACGAAATCCCTTGCAGCTTTGCTTTGCCTTTTACAGTGATTGACAAGTTGTCAGTTTTTAGTAAAATGCTGCCGGAGCCACAATCAAATGCACTATTCCCACAGTAGTTCTTGTTCCAAATTACATCAGTGCAGTTGAGACACAAACAATGGGAATACTAAATGGAGCCATGTTGCTATGTTGGAGACAGGGAAGGAAAAAATAGCAAGACTTGCCAAATCAAACAAAAAACTGTGAGAGAAAGAATATTTGCCACTAGGTTGCTAGGGGTACATTAATAACAGGAGATAATAAAACCCATGTAAACAATTAAAAAACAAACAGGAAAGCCCAGGAAAATCTGGCAACAGTCTATTGGAACATCTCAGCAAATGCAGGTAGTTCATAGCAGAAGAAACCATCCCATAGAAAAGATTCACCTGCTTTAATAGTTTTTATTGAATGATACTTTAGAAAGTGTTCAAGAATCAACATTTTTCTATTAGCCTCTGAGGAAGGTTGCTATTACTTTTCTTCCTTGATGTATATCCACAGACTCTGAAAGCTGACACACACACCACTCCCCATTCCCTTTCAATCCCCAAACTGACAAAATAGAACGAAATGCAAAAATCCCAAATGCTTAAGGTATTTGGAGACCTGTGACCTATGAAAACTAACGGAGAGAGTGTCAAATACCTTTTAAGAGTTTGAGGCTAGTTCCATGCTGTATAAATCACTCTGCCCTCTTCCCCTTGTGCAGGACTTTGTTTTGTAATATCCCAGTGTGAATTGTCCACCGTAAAGAAAACGTAATCCTTTTTGATGGTATCCGAGGTATTGGTACAACAGGCTTTACCCACAGAGTGAAACAACCTTAAAAAACTGCTACTAAAGAACTGTAGCAAAAGGATTTATGGACTTTGTAACCAAAACATCCAACAACTCAATGTTGGCATGAAGCTGAGTGAGGGGAGGTTTAGGTCAAATATTAGGAAAAGGTTCTTCACCCAGAGGCTTGTTGGGCACTGGAATAGAGTTCCCAGGGAACTGGTCATGGCCCCAAGCCTAACAGAGCTCAAGTGGCATTTGTAGAACACTCTCACACACATGGTGGGGTTCCTGGGGGTGTCCTATGCAGGGTCAGGAGTTAGACTCGATGATCCTTGTGAGTCACTTCCAACTCAGGACATGCTATGCTTTTATGAAAGTCATCAGAAACTGGGTCTAGAGGAAGAGATCCCAACTCCCCCTCCTCCCAGTCACTCACCTTCTGGGCCGGTGACTTCAGGCAAATGGGTAAATTTCTCATTGCAATAGTTGCCCTCGCAGCAGCAGAAAAACACTTGAGGGTTTTCTTCTGTGGCTACGCACTCCTGCCTGCACCAGGGAGGGACAGACACGGAAATTTAGGAAAGAGAAAAACAAGGTCAGCCAACTTCTGCCTCTTGTCTTTGGGCACCAACCTGCCCCAAACTGTCCTCTCCACACGCCTTCTCCTGCGCCTGCGCTGCACAGATCAGCAGTCTCCACTTACAGAAAACAACTTGGCACTCAAATACCCCAGTGGATAGCAAAGACCCTTGAAAAGACCGTAAAGGAAACAAATGCTTCCATATGTACTGAGGGGCATTAGACGGCGAGTAATAAATAACAGCCGCCGCTGCTAACGCAACGAGAGGGAGAAAAACGATGGAGAGACACCTCGGCCCCTGAACAGTGCCCTTCCCACAGCCCAGATGTATGCTGCCAGGGGAGAGAAGTATTTGATCATGCAATTAAAGATTGTGCCATAAAGAACATATGACGAGGGCTGAGCTAAGACTGCTCCCACATCCCCGAGCATCACTAATTCTATGCACTCGAAGGGCAGCAGACACAGGAACAGCCCTGCTGCTGCAGGCAGGAGGGAGGCTGCAGGTTCAAGGGCATGTAGTGATAGGACAAGGTAATGGCTTCAAACTGAAGGAGTGCAGGTTTAGATCAGATACTAGGTACAAATTCTTTACTGTGAGGGTGGTGAGGCACTGGAACAAGTTGCCCAGAGAAGTTGTAGCTGCCTCATCCCTGGAAGTGCTCAAGGTTATGTTGGATGGGGCTTGGTGCATCCTTGGTCTTATGGAAGGAGTCCCTGCCATGGCAGGGGGTTGGACAGAGATAATCTTTAAAGGTCCCTCCCAATCCTAATCATTCTAGGATTCTATGATTCTCATTTGTTGTTTTTTTTTAAGTTTAATTTTCAAGTGCCATGTCTTCCTTTAAAAATTTTATTCCTGTACAAAAACCTTTAAGAAAATCAAGTTGCAGCTCCCATTTTCTGCCTTTGCCTGTTATCCAGGTAGTGCTACAGCCTTTCCAGCACTGAGATTTCCTTCCACACTGTGCAAGGCGTTGGAGGATCTCCACAGATCAGACCAACTCCACTTCCACACATCCTCCCTCTCCCCACAGATCAATGCCAAAAGAGATGCGCGGTGATTTTTGCAGTGCTCTAGCAGTAATTTCTTTCAATTCTTAAATGCTGCTTCCCTTCCCAGCCTCCTTTTGCTATGTTACCCTCTGCTTTTAGTTATTAGGCTTGCAAAGCTGCTCTCCACAGAGAGCTGTATCAAACTATTTCCTGAAGCCCAGCTAAATTATATGCATAACTTCCTTCCCTCAACCACTTGGAGGAAGTAGCAAAACAATCATATGTGTTTGACATTATTACTCATTTCTGAATCCATGCCAAGCCTCCCTTTCTGTGGTATCACTGACACACTGCCACGAGAAGAACAGGAAGGGCTCTCTTCAGTCTTAACACTGGGTAGTTTTTGGTGCTTTATTCTTCTTGGGGGGAAAAAAACTGGCTATAGCCAAACTGTCTCCTGCAAGGTCTCAGCTAGGAAGCACTTGGTTTGTTTTTCAGGCTTTTATTTTTTGCTTCAAAGCAAAAAAGCAGCCATTTGACTTATTCAAATGAACAAAGATGTTTCAACAAGTTAAACATGTTTCCAGATGCTTTTTCATGAAATCAGATAACAAGCCCTTTGGATTTAACAGCATCAGTGTTGGAGTCTTCAATAGAAAACACATCCTTTGCTAAATCTGTTGGTTAAGAAATCAAGCTAATGAGCGAAAACAGCCTGTTCCACATCTGCAATTCATTATCCCTGTCTTTGAGTTGGTGCACGCTCAGGGAAGCCACCCAGGTACGTATGACATGTTATACTTAGCAAATATTACAAATGAGCATTACAGTGGGAATGACACATTTTTCTGTGGCAGTGAGGGCACGTTTCAGAGTGTTTCACGTGCTCACATCCAAGGGAAGGTGTACATGACCTCCCCGGCGGGTCTGTGTAAATAAACGAGAGCGCACACAAGTCGATTTTTAAACACTACCTTTTTCCCATAACCTTAAATGTACATGTGCCACGTTCTCGTTTCCTTAAGATAAAGAACAGAGTAAGGAGCCGTCACCTTCGATGTCCCAACTCTTGCACTCCTAAATTTTTCCACCTTCCAGCGACAAGGAGGCAGCACTTGGCACATGCTGCCTGTGCTCCGAGAGCACCAGCAGCCAGCAGAACAGGACCATGCCCTGCATCCAGGGAGATACGAGCACAAGTGCAAGTCCCAAGGCTGCTTCTGGGAGCTCAGCATCCAAAGGTGCCAAAGGCAGAAACAAAAAGGGCATCAGCACAGAACCATTGATCAAAAAATCATCTTTTTAGCCATTTTTGCCATTTGGGATGCATGAATATCTGCCAAGGGCACTCAAGGGAAGAGAAAAAGTAAAAAGGACTGCATTTAAAGAGCCTTTACTCCTTTACTTATTAAAGCTAACCTTTATTTCAAATGTTGCTTTTGACACTTGTACTGTTTGTTAATTCTCAGAAGATCGTTTCGCTTTGCCCTGGAACTTGTGGCTTTGAAGAGTCAGGCTATGGGATACTGGATACTCAATTCCAGGGCTGCAAAAGGCTGGTGAGGAGCCCTGGAAAGTTTTTACCATTATAACAGAGCAACACATTATGACAAAGTTTAAGAACCACTACATCCCTGCAGAGACACTCAGTGACAATACAAGTGTCACTGGATACGAGAGCAGGCACTGAAAGCAGAAATCTGTTTACAGTAAACACTTCTGCCTGGAAGTAGGAAAATACAGTGACCTTCTGTTCTCAGAAGGATCGGCATTAGGATGACTAATGGGCCAAGGAGGATTGATTTATTAGGAAAGAAAAAAAAAATTAACTATATATAGAGCTTGGCTCCTCAATTGGCAAGGGAATAGGTGTGGTGGGAAAGCAACCCTAGAGCTAATAATAGAATGAAGATGAGGAACAACTCACAGTCGAGATAAGCTAAGACAATGGGCACAAAAGCAGGGAAAGTGTACAGCACCAAAGGGAGAAAACTCTTTATCCATGGGACAAATCTAGTCCCAGCTCAACCCCACAGTGCAGGACCCGATGCTCTAAAACTTTTGGAATAAGAAGCTACAAAGACGCATAACTGGGAATTTCACAAATGTGAGCTCAACCCACATTGGTGGTATATCAAGGGAAGTCCTTGAACTTTATGTTGCTAACCCTTATTGAAAGCGTTGGGCTTGGCTTAGTTGGGTGGTCGTTTGGGGGTTTTTTTTGAGAGAAACACTGAACCTAGAGCTACTGAACACTGTCCTTTTCAACGGCGAAACTTCAGAGGGCTGTTTTCTTTAGCTGTAATTCTTTTCCCTCTGTGGAATTGCATCAAGGGAAATGAGAAAAGACTAGTTAATTTTCCCAGCTATTTAATGAGGCTGGAGCCCTCGTACTACAAAACCTCACTCCTTTTCAGATCACTACAGGCAGCGACACACTAACTCACATGTTGCTTTTCCTGCCTCACTCTTTCTCCCAGCCCATCTCTCTGACTCAGCCAAAGAACAAACTTTTTGCAGCATCACAAACGTCAGAATACCTCAATCCCTAACCACCCTCAGATATCTGTGCTTTTCTAGACAGCTCCAAATGATTCCAAGTTTTCCTTTATATCACCAAATGCTCTTGGAAGAACATGTTGCTCTTCACTTGATGGTTTTTCAATGCATGCCAGAATTATCAAAGCTTTGCTAAGGAAAAAATGGAACCCAAACAAAACACAAAACCCCTAAAAGTGCCTTTTGCAGCTTCTATTTAGAATGTCAAAGCAGGTAAGTGACAATTCTGAGAGCTGCATTAGCAACAGAAGTAACTAGACGGGATGAATGGGTCAATGGACTTGGACTCGCTTTCTTTTCCTCAATGCACAAATTATGAGCTTTTACACTTAGAGGAACAATTAAACCTGTATTTAGATAAACCAGTTAGGCCATTACCTGTCATAGCAGTTGAAGTCATCTAACCAGCAGCCTTTCTTCACCAGCTCGATGGAGCCCGAGTTGTTTCTCCAGGAGGCGTAGCAGTGGAGCCGCTTGTCCTTCTCCCCCTCACAGCGCTCCACACCACTCTGGTTGGTCTTTTCCAGCTCCCAGTTGGCATTGTAGTAGATGCACTCCCTCGTCTCAGCCTCCCCATGGCCCGGCCCTGAAGAAAAATTCAAACCCCAAGAACGCTCAGGTAAAATCAGAAATAGATACTGGGAAACACATCTCCGCGTGGCTCTGTTTTGGGTGACGCATACATTTGATTCCCTGGGAGCTAAACAGTTCGTCAGTGAGAGCCTCAGCACAGCGTGGAGATTATTCTTCTTCTCTGGTGTGGGGTGGGGAATGGAGAGGTCAAGTTTGCCTAAGCTCACAGCAGGAGCTCATGGTGAAGTCAAGAGCCCAGCTGAGACCTCCCCAGATCTCCTCTGGCCAGTGTGTCAACCACAGGACCTTAAAAAGGGGATACATGTGCAACCCATACCCAGTATTCTCTAGCCACAGAAACCCTGTTTGGGAAAAAACAACCTCCCAGGGTGCTACTTGATGCTTGTTGGCTCTTCACACAACACAGTCACTCTCACTCCTCACCACTATTTTGGAAAACATCACGTAAAAATAAATAGTTGCTTACATGAGTAGGACATAACTGAGAACAGAAAACATTCATCCCGCAGAGGAGGGCCAGACCATTCCTCACTTAGGTCCGAGTTCAGGCTTATTTGAGTAAGTCTCCATATGATAAATGCAATATTTTTAGCTGCAGTTGACACAGCTCATGGTGCCTTCTCTACCCATGCCAGACCTTTAGCAAAAGACAACTCTGTTCCCCAAACAACTCTGGCCATCCAAATGGATGCTTGGTCATTACAAACAAAGGAATCTGTGGGTCTTTTTCCCTTTGGAGCTTTGTACCAAAGGACCATGGGTTCCTACTGCCCCTAGGGAAACAATTCCTTCATAGACACCACGGGGCAGAACTGAAACATGATTGCAGACACATCCATTAAAAACAGAGTCAAGTAAGGGAACACTGATATCTGCAGGTGACCTGTTTTGTCCCAAACCATAGAAATCCTCTCTTCATTTGGAAATATGCTGCTTTGTGGCATTTTGAGGAATAGTTTAAAACAAAACGAAGAATGAAACAAACACAGTTCGTAAGTAGACAAACGGAAAAGGCACCATGAGCCTTGTACCATGAAGCTCATGATTCCATAAATCCTGAAATGCCCTGCAGCCATCTCTCTTTGGGATTACCCAACCTAAGGCAAGGTGAGACCCAGCCATTATTTTGATGGACTGTAGTCATGGAAAATGCAGGTATCCCAATAAAACGTGTTGACAACTTGGGTAGAAAACACAAAGAGATCCCACAGGACGGTGAAATGAAAGTGCTCTGCTCTTAGAATAGCCAGACCTCTGTAAACCATAGAATTAAGCTTCTGGCTGGAAAATTTTGCAGTCCTTTCATGACTATCCTCTCCGAAGGTCGTGCAACCTTTAATGTTGAGCTTAAGGCAATCAGGACCATGTCTGGACTGTCCATGTGCAATCCAGCCTGTGATTCCCGCTCAACATGGCAAACCAGCCCCTTCTGAGAGGTCTCTGCAAGTGGATGCAATTCAGTCTTCATAAGACACTGAGCAGAAAGTGGTTGAGAGCTGGCAGAGAAAGCGCCCAGCACAGGTACCAGTTCCAGATACCTCCTGTATCTTCATCAATTCCATACTTGAACACCCATCCACCGATGTAAGTACCCTCACAACACCCAGCCGGAGAAGGGAGTATTACTTCCAATGGAAGATTCAACACATCAAGTTAAACAACTTGTCCCAGGTGATCAGGATTCTATGGGGAGTCTGACCTGCCCTTCCACAGCCTGCAGCTCCTCAAGCTGTCCAGTCTCCAAGCAGAATTCACCTCCAATTATGCAGTGCATGGAGATCCCTTTAGAGATGGAGCTTGAGAAACAGATTTCTTTCAAGCTATTCAGTGTAGCCTGATCTGTTTTAGGGAATCAACCCCCAACTGCCCCACAGGCATCAAGAAAGGAAAGCAGGTGACCTGACACAGAGTAGAAATAGAACTTCAAGAAGGTTGCAGAAGAAACCATAGATTCTGTACAAGCTAGGGGTGATGCATCCAGTCTGCTCCCAGTCCCAACACCTGGACTCAGCAATGGGTAATTTCCGTGGTACAGAGCAAACACATCACACTAGGAAGATGTCTTTGCAGGCTGAAGAGGTGTTCAATCCTTCAATAACACTTTTTTGGGGGAAGAACATTTAATCTGCATCGTGGGAGAGACTGCAAGGGAGTAGGGGTATGAGAATGTCATAAAGCTGACTTTTGAAACTGGAAATTATATTCAAAGCACACACGAACAAGAGCTCAATATCAATAGCACCTGCAGGCTTTATCAGTGCTTGCAAAGCTCCATCAGAGTTTTCCTCTGACAAGTTGCTTACTATAATGAAAACAACCTACCAATATCCCTCAACACAGAACAGTGTCAATATTGACACTCCTTGTTAAAGCCTTGATATTTGTTCTCTTGATACTTACACCATGCTTTGTTAGGGCAGATTAAGCATTTTTGCTAAATACTAGTTAAATCAGCAGGAAAGCAAAGGAGCTTTTTTGGGGGGGAGGGGGAGCAGGGGGAGAGAGGGAGATATATTTTTATTTGTAAAGAAAAGAGTAAATATCTTGGCTTCATGGGATCATAGAATGTTTTGGGTTGGAAAAGACCCTTAAAGGTCATGTAGTCCAACCTCCCTGCAATAAGCAGGGACATCTCCAACTAGACCAGGCTGCTCAAAGACCCATCCAACCCGGCTGTGAATGCTTCTAGGGATGGGGCACCCACCACCTCTCTGGACAACCTGTGCCAGTGTTTCCCCATCCTCATTGTAAAATGCACCTTCACTGTAATACACTGCATGGCTTCCAGCTAATACCTGATAGTTAATACTCACTATCACCTTCTGCTCTCCTCCTGGAAATACATTTTGTAATATCATTTTCATCATCCCAAACCGAATCTCGCTTTTGATCAAGATGGAAATTTCCTCTCCCTCCCTAACTCTGTCTCTCAGAAAGCTGGAAGGTTTAATGAACCATTTTACTGCAAATCAGCCCCAAAATCTAATCCTGGCTCAGCCACCTCCATCTGTAACCTCAAGAAATACTGTGTAGCCTCTGTTTTCTCCACCTGCAACAACTGCAAATGCAATGCACATAGCTGCAGTGAGATTTGATATTTCCACTGTGCTTTGAAAAGGGGATGTTGAAAAGATACGAAGCAGAAGTTGTATCGGCTCTGGGACCAGCAAACCAAGGCTGCTAAATCCTGTGCTGAGCCCAGACTCCCTTCCCCCAAGACAGTTGTCTTTTCTGGAACAAGTTTCAGCTGAAGACTAAGAGCTGCTTGCAAACATGCAAACCCAACTCTGCAAACAGCAACCGTGCCAGGAAAAAGGCCTTTCCCAGCTTTCCCCCCGCTGTCAAAGTTTAGATGAGTTGAATAAAAGCATGCATAAAGTTATGGATGACTAAATATATGTATGCTTTCTTTAAAACAGTTCTTAAGGATGCTTGCATTAAGAAGACACTTAAAAAACCTGCGTGTTTGTTGCCTGCTCTCAGATCTTTTTAAAAGCCATTTGGTAGGATCCTCACCCTGCTGGGTGCTCAAGACTGCAAGAAACCCTTCTGTTTGTGCCCAAGATGGTCTCAGCAGGAAGGGGCACGGCTCCAGGTCTGGGTATTAATTTACCTGCTGCTTTAGCTCATCAAGAAACACTCACACCTTGCTCTGTAATGGATCACGCAGAGACCAAAGTTTGCAGCTAACTGCCTGTTCTGCCCTCACTGCATTAAAACCCTCAACTGAACAGAGGGAGGGAGAATCAAAACAGGGTTTTGTCCCTTTGAGGGAGATAGGTGGGGTAGTGATTAAGAGAAGGAAATCTGAGCTTTGTTCCTGTAACTCCAGGGAGCCCTGTAGTCTCTTCTGTCTCCTCTTCCCCCCTTGGGCAATGGATACCCCCAAAGCCACTACAGGTCTGTAAGAAATGCTGAGCTGGACATTGGGTAATGGTTTGTAACTAAAAGAGAGTCAATTTGGATTAGATGTAAGGAAGAAATTTTTACTATGAGGATGACAAAACACTGGAACAGGTTGCTCAGAGTGATGGTAGATGTCTTATCCTTGGAAAGATTCACTGTCAGGTTGGACAGGGCTTTGAGAAACCTGATGTAATTGAAGATGTCCCTGATCACTGCAGATGAGTTGAACTAGATGCCCTCTAAAGGTCCCTTCCAGCCCAAATGACTCCATAATAGGCACAGATCAACCATGTCCTGCTTCTCATTTCAGCATAACCTGGCTCAAGAGAAGTGTTGTACCAAACCTGAGTATCTGAGAGAAGGGACACAACTAATTTTGGGCAAAAGAACCTTTCCTGAAACAAAAGCCTTTCAGTACAGTCACAAACACATCTTGGGATGGACTAAAGGGGCTGTGTCCCCCCAGACCTGCTCTCCCCTCCTCACAACACTCTTGTCACCTCCCTCACAGCAGCCTTGGTATGTAGAAAAGCTCCTCAGCTCCTTCATTCAGTGGCACTGCCTGGTAACATCCTGCTCACTCAGGATGGAAAATAAACATCCCAGGGAACCGCTCAGCTTTTGGCAGAAAGTCAGCAGGACTTGGGCACAATGAGATATAAAACATTTGCTAAGCAAGTGTTTGAATATCACTGTTTGGAACCTGGTTTAATTCATTGGGTCCCCGTTCCCCTCCTGCCTAACCCTATTCTGCCAGCCATAATGCAAAATCTGGAAAAAAAAGCTGTTTCTTACCAATAGGAGAAGGGGTTCCCGTTAGGTACAGGTAACAGGTACAATCACAGGTGGGATCTGCTGGCTCCTGCCATCCATTTGCCATTTTGCAGGGGAGATGTTTCCACCACAGCTGGGTGGAAACTACTGGAGGCAGAACAACTGCACTGGCAACACTGTGCAGAAAGGCTGAGCAGGCAAACCAGGAGCATGGCTGTGGGGCAGGAGCATGGACGTGGGGCAGAAGCACAGCATGCCCAGCAGTGCAGCCCACTATTAGTCCCAGTCCTCTCCACGGAAAAGTCTCGTGCCAGCAACCAGGCAAAAACGATCAACGTTTTAATACCACGATCCACAAACAGTCATTTAAGGAATAAAGCCTGAAGTCCCATTTGAAATCAAAGTCTAAGGAAGCATCAGGCTTTGCAGGAGCAGATGGGTTTCTGGCATCCCACTGCATCCACCCAGCGCTTTGGGGATGACGCAGTGTGGCTTCTCCTCGAACAAAAGCTGCACAGAAGTACCTTTGCACAAAATATAAAGCCCAAATAACTCCCATACATCACGAAGGCAGAGGGAGGCTACCCACCATCACCCATTTTTGGGGTGGAAATCAACCTTTTGACCTCAGTCCTGAGGAACTACCATTATGCCGATACCCTTGGGTCAATTTTCCGCTCCAAATGACTGAAGCATCACTGGGTTTTTGCCAAGCAAGATCCCCAGCACCTATCTGAGGCACATAATGATGGGAAGAGCAGTTGAAGCACCATGCGACACAGGAGGACCTCTCGTCTCTACTTGGGAGTTGCAAGGCACAGAGGGAGCTCATTAAAAAAGGGTCCTCTTGAACTGAAGGAATTCAGCCTGCTGATGCATGGGACCCTGCTGCTGATCTGAGACTAAACTCTGCTCTCCTAATTTGGAGTCGCTGACAGATCACTGAGGCTGCATCATTATCCAACAGCTTCTAAATTATGGCCAAGATCCAGCGTGGCAACTCCAGGTCTAGGTGTTAGCAGTTGCTGCGCTCCTAACTCATAATGAGATACATAGGGAATATCTTCCCAAAGGCTGAAGGCTGCTATAAATCTCAGCTCTTTATCTCTGCCTGTCCCCTTTTGAAAACCTAAAAAGAAAGTATATATGAAAAGATGGGATGTGTCAAAATAGTCTGCATAAACACTGAGTGATTTACCAGACAGTCTGTTTGCCTGACTGTCAAAACCACCGGGCTTTATATATGAAACTGTGTATGCAACTGAAGCTATTTGCAAACACTTCGTTATGTCCCTATACAGCTATTTGTACATGTAATTTTATAATGTAAAATGACAGAGATTGTACACTGAATTGGGGTAATTGCCCTCTAATTTGGAGGGTAATTGCATGTAGCAATTAAGCAACTGCGGATGCATTCTTGCACGTGTGATTATGAAAGTCGGGCCCTTTGTTTGAGGTTTGGGTTTGTTTTCAAGAGCTATCCCTCAAACCACAGCATGGATGAGCAGAGCTGGGAAATGAGAGGCTGCTGGGTGCTCACCTTACAGTGCAGCATCTGCTGGGATGAACCATTTCAGCGCCAGCTCACACCCACCCCTCCCCATCCCTCAGCACTGCAGGGATGCTAAACTAGCCACCTCTGAACCCACAGCTGCATTCTGGCACAACCTTCAATGGGGAGACCACAATCTAAGCATATGTGGAGCACACTGAGAGGCACTAGTGGGGAGGGAAAGGCAGGGAAAGAGGACTGCTGCCCCCAACTCTCCTTTTCTCAGACACCTGCCCAGAAATTATGTGCAGCGCTGCAAATTAAAGAATTTCAAATAGTTATTGCTAGCATTTCAGATCCCAAAATCAAGCCAGATGAAGGCTTGTAACTGGGAATGTTTGGAAAACGTTGCTCTGGAGAGACCACCCAGTTGCATCTCTACAAAATGAATATATGATTACTAAGTGTTGCTGCAGCACTTATTCCCCAAGTGGGGTGATTTCATTCCTGCTGTACTTCAGTAATAGGGTCTAAATACGTTTTTAGGCAAAGCATCAGGCTAGTGATGACATCTGTGGTTAAGTACGTAACTGAACACGAGGATTTGAGGACTTGTTGCGTGTATTCCCTGTTCCTTCACAAAAGCCTTGAAATGATGGAGCCCCATGGAACTGAAATGAGCCCCCATGACTCTGCAGAGCCCTTTTCTCAAGCCAAAACCTCACTCCACCTTTGGGGAACTCAATAGCCAGGCATAGAATGGTCAAATACCCAGGGCCTGCCTCTTCCAACCAGCTGAATGCCAGGGTGGGCACTGCCCTGGCTAATTAGAAGCATCAACTATTGCAGAATGTTTTGGTTCTTAAGCCAGATCAGGCAAAACCGGGCCCAGGCAGCACCAAGAACAGCAAAGATGTAACACCAAGGTAAGATATTACTTGGAATTTTGTTTTCTGTCAATAGATTTGGCTTATCCCACAGTAAAAGAGCTCCAAGTTTTCAAGTCAATCAATGGCTGTTAATCTATTATCTCAGTATATATTTCCATGGTAACCTGCAATGATGCCATTGACAACCAGCCTCAAAAGGACAGGAGGCTTTAAGTCATTTTCTTTTAAAATTAAAAAAGGAACTTTAATATTAAGAAATACATCCTCCCTGCTCACCAGGGATGACAACTCAGGGCTTCTATATTCACACCATGACTCACACTTCACAGCTTCCACGGACATCTGTGTAGCAATGCCCCCCCCCTACACCATATATCTCTTTTTTAACTTGGGTTTAAGTCAGTAAAAGATAACAAGGAAATTATTCAAAAGAATTAGGTCTTTACTAGAATATTCCCCTAAACTGACAGCAAAACCTGTTTTGTAAAATATAAAGAGTGTGTTTTAGGAGTCATTACTACCAGCTGGGGGAAAGGATGCAATAAAGGTTTAATTCTTCTGAATAATTTCCTTGGTATTTTAAGTCAAAGAGGGTAGATAGAAGGTGGTGGATAAAAGGACCCAGAGAAGGACATGTAGCATTCCAGCTTCTCATAAGTCCATAAAACCAGGCAGATTCCTGTACAGGGAAGACGGAGCCGAGTGAGACAAGAGCAATATTCGATTTAGTGGAATACTGAGTGTACACACACACACACACACACATGCACACAGCGCTGACGAGATTAATCTCTTGGCCCAAAGGGGAGGATCACTCAGGAAAAGGTTTAGTAAATCATTCCTCTGGCCAGGCAGAGCGATCCAAGGAGATTTGGCCAGGTCACCGGCTGGCCTGGTGTGCAGCAGGACAGAAACATTGCCAGTAGTTAATCAATTTTTGGAAGCAGAGCATTTTTGACTTGAACTCAGATGGTCATTTCTATATTTTATTTAAAGAAGAGATCATTTTAGTTATCCATTAGAAAAATCCTATTTTGTATCATTTCAGTTAAGGACAAAGCCAAAATGTAATTACATTTCTTCCTTCGCATTGCTAACTGTATCTGTCTCCCCAAAAAAGGTTTTAGTTCTTTAATAAAACCATCAGGGAGATCAATCAAAACCATTTAATGCCGTGGTGCTTCTGCAGTTCATGTTTAAATGCACTTTGGGTCACAAACGAGGCAATTTGGACAGCAGAGCTCAAACGGGATTAGTAATAACACATAAAAAAGGCCTAATTTCTTTTTTTTTTTTTTTTTTTTTACACAGATACACACTCCTCCACTAACCCAAGAGAACGAAAACAAAATCAAGTCAGCCCTGACGAACACAAAGTTGCAGATCCAAAAAGGGCACTGCTGCTGCCCGCCTGCCTGCACACGGCGTGGGGTGGAGGAGAGCGTGTAAAGCTGCAGATCGCCCATCCAAATTTCCAGAGATTCTGAGCTGCTGTCTATCCACGTGTGAACATCCCCAAGGATGACACCTCATGCAGGACCTCTGAAACAAGCCTCTCCTCCACCTACCCTGCTCATTAGGAGACACCTCCAGGCTTCCTTTGCACCACCACGCCAAGAAAATGCATTGCTCCGTACAGGATTTCTATAAAGGAGAGGTGGTGTTTTCTCCCCAGACCACGAGTCTTCAAACAAGCATACAGTTATTGAGATTTTATTTTATTTTTTTTTCTGAAATTTGAGGTGTGCATTTATAAAAGCATTAAGCAGACCATTTATTTGGCTTGTAACAGCAATGACTACTGTCTGGCATGAAAAATGGCCCCTCGTGGGCTGAGCACTGTGCAAATAAGCTACCGAGAAGGTTGTCTCAGCCGCCAAACTTTGCAGCCTCGGTGACAGGAAACATTAGAGTTTAATTGCAAGATTAAGATATTTCCAACTACACGCCTGAAAATCAAAGAGAGGGCAGATTTTGACCAGATGCCACCAATCACTGAGTAAAATACGCAGCAAAATCTGAAATGACATTTAAAACACAGGCATTTGTTCTCTCCCTTTCTCCTGAGGAGCCAGCATGAGGTCTCCACAGAGCACAGGAGGAGGAAGTCAAATCACGTATGTTCGTAAATATTTTCCCCCCACACGGTGAAGTTTTGAAAAGCTTTCAAAGCAGGCCTTCCAGGCAGAAACTTCCTTCCAGGCAAAGGGATGAGGAAATGGGAGCAACTCCTGGTGGAGTGCAGAGGTTTAAGGAACAGTGATAACCACGTGGCAATACCTTTCCCAGCTCTTTCATGTGCACCTGTTCCATCCTACCATCCTCATCATCTTATGCTACTGCCACCAGCAGAAATGCTTTTCAGAGCTCCTGATTTTTAAGGTCTTCTCCAGGGAGAGAGTGATGTGTGTCTAACACAGCACAGCACACCTGGCAAGCCACAGAGAGCTTCAGTACCCAAACAGCAGCACCTCAATTCATAATCTACACATGGCCCTCCGAGATTTATCAGCAGGGACATTTCAAATATGCTTTAAAATGTGCTGAGTCTACTAAGATTGGGCCCCAAGTGCTTTTCTATTGATTCTGCTTGACATTTCCAAATACCACAATTCCAAATTTAATTCACTGGTAATTGGAAAAACTGTAATGCATGTAAATGGACAAGAAGATGTGGGAAGTCCAAAAGGTCAAGCATCAGGAAAGCATGCCCCCAAGAAT